AGCTAAGTATATATTGAGTTAATTGTATATGCTGGGTTATTACATTCATCAAATCATCGAGTTTTGTTTTCCAAGCGGCACTGTATGCGGAGAATATACTATAAGTAGCATCTGATTCCCGTATACCTCAAAAATGCTTCGACCCCTTTCGGTTCCTTACAACCTCTGTTACGAGCAAGTTTCGAAAAATGAGCCAACCAGTTCGATTATTATGTCATAAACGTTGTAACATCATTTCCTGCTGCAATACTCACGAAATTAATTCGTTCCGGAAGCCGTTTCGTAAGCAGAAAATTAAGTAGGAACGCGTTTTACCCTACGAATGCCCTAATCCGTTCTAAGCCCCGGTCATAACATTTGTACAAATAATGGTTAAAACCTGTAACAAATACATGCTTTTTTTGCTAGCAGGCTATTACTTTAGTATATTTCAAAGATTTCTATGAACTGTAAGAGATTCGTTTTTTTATGCCATGACGTCTTCAAAATAAAAATTGCGTACTTCGGTTCCGCCTTCGCGATGTGATGGTTGTTCGGGACCCGTAGTCTACTGTGACAGATTGCATACCCGAACAACTTCGTTTTGGCTTTCGTGTCTATATACCTGATCATCACTCTCTTGTTAATGTCCATAGTTGGACATACAAAAGCGTGAAGAAACATTGTGTACTCGCGGATCGAGGTATGTTACTTTTGTTGTATCTTTCTTATCGTTGTTATTGTTTCCAGCAATTGTGTGGATCCTGACTTCATCCAGAAAGTTCTATTTCTCTGCCGTCGTACCAGTTTATAGGTACAGTAATAAAAATTTAACATGTTGATTGTATTGTGGAAGACAAGTTATACTCTGTCGTAATACGACTGAATATCATGGTAGCCAATCCCCAAATCTTAGTCAAACACTTAACGATACAGTTTTTGTACACGAAGAGAGAAGATGAGTCTTGAAATGATTTACAAAATTCTGGCACCGTCGTTCCAAGGTTTTCAAAAATCAATTGAGTCCATAATTAGTAAGAAAAAATACTTGTCAGCGAGCCTACGAACGCGGCCTGAGCGTTCTAAAAGTTCGGTCTTCAGTCTATTAGCAATTTTATTCATTATTCGTTTCATTTCTTTGATTGCTGACGAACCATTGTCTTTCACGCTCCCTCCAAACATCATTTTACTTCGCCCGACTCTTGCCAATGGTACATCTCATTTCTCACAGTATTCTGATGCCAATCTGACTGCATTCTCAATAATGTCTTCAGATTTTGGACCAAAATTCTGTTGAGTCCAACAAGATCATCACTTGCCTGAATTGAATCGATCTTGGGATCTTGCAGTCGTTTTGTCACTCTCTGTACGGGTGACAAAATATGGCACCAAAATTTCAAGGATGAAACAAATGTAAATTGCTGCAACGTAAATGGGCATAAGATTTTGTCTAACTAGTAAATTTTCCACCTTCAAATGCTCAAGACAATATATTATTTCGTCAAAATTTTCATGGATGACTTCAACTGCGTTGTACAAAAATGTTGTCCATGATATCAGAAAAGTAACCACTGTTGGATAAACTTCAGCTGCATGAAAACACGCCAAATTTAGGCCGTGGTTTTCGCAATTGATAAACTGGGCTTGATTCCGTATGCTTGTCTTCGACAATCGTTTATGTCAATTTCATCACCATTCAAATTCTCCGGTCCTTGCGTGAAAATTGGCTTCCTCAAACAGGTGACAGCACTCGCCTCAACATTAGCATCTTCCGCAGCAAAATCATCAACGTCATCTGAAATTGAATTTTGCGACGACTTTTCATCCTGATTATCACCACCAATGTCAAGTTCTGTGGTAATTGGATTACTGACATCATCTTGAAGGACAGTCACGAGGTCATGATTTCCATCAACCGATTGATCGTATGTCACGTATTGCTTTTTCAACCGCACATCTGAAAAGCCCCTCAAGAGCTTCTCTGAGTCTTTTCTTGTGACGATATTGGGCCCCGCTCGGTTGTATTCACTTCACTCGTGTATGGTGGCCCATCGTTGTCACGCGTAAAATTGAAAATAAAAATAAAATCAAAAAATAAAAAAATAGTTGTGAAAAAGCATAACAATGATAAGAGAATATAGAATTGAATACGAAAATTCGGAAAATTTGTTTTTACGTGTAGAAGGTAATTTAATTGGAGAATGCTGCTTTAACTACTCAGTTGTCTGGACACTCGCGATGCCGGTAACGTACCGTCTTACCAAATACGGGTAGTCGGTTATAGTCGCTTTGCGTCTGACCATACCTCGATCCTAGTAGAATATAGTGAGTATGGATTGAAATAAATGGTTGAGCACGGGCGATTTATCATTTGTCTGGATCGGTACGTTACAGCTGTACGGTATGGGGCAGGCGCAGAGAGTGTTTCAGTAGTCTATATTCTACGAGACTATCCGTATCTCCCATTCTTTCATGAGTGATTGCATGGGTACCGGCAGTATGTTCCCCAGCTTTTCTTTTTAGGGGGGGTGTTTCAAAATTTAGGGGGTGGTAATTATTTGCTATTAGAAGTAAAACAAGAGAGCTACGCACAAATATATGGACACGTTAGACCAGAGCGAATCAGTCCTTACCGGTACCTTTGACGCTACCGGTACCCTCAAAAAAGTTCTGAATTTCCAGTAGCAAGAATTTTGCAGAATCAAAACGTACAGCCAGTCATGACACTGACTAAAATCCGTGTTCCCATGGATAAAAAATAATACAGCAAAATTTTAGACGAAATATCAAATTACATAGAATTCACGCAAAATTTTGAAATAAATAAAAGTAATAGCCTTCTAGCGAAAAAATTAATCTTTAACCACTGAAAATTTTAAAGCAATTGGTCCAGTATTCGAAGAGAAAAGCGACTTTTTAAAAACGTGTCAAAGAACAACAACAACAACAAAATTTTGAAGCGATCGTTATGGCCACTAAACGTGTCCAACTAGGCTATTTGTATTCTTAAAAAAATGGTATGTATTTAAGAAACGATGTACATGGGGGCCCCCAAGTTGATTGACGCGAGCCAAAATCCACAGCAGAATGAAATTGTAGGGCCAGAAAAGGGGAGCGAGGAAAAGTGCGGGACGACACGGCTGGGGTTCATGGCGCGCTCAATCGCCCTGAGAAAAATTTGAGAAATAGGCACCAAAATAGGCTCTAAGCTTGATTTTAGATACACCTATCATCGCAGTTTGTTATGTAATGAAATCAATAATTATAATATTTAGCTGATAGAATTCCCGGGGAATAGATAACAAGCACGGCTTTCAACCGTAAATATATACTACTACGTTTCAACAAGTAATTTGCAACTGATAGTGACTAATGAAGTTACTTGCTGATCTGTATGAATGTATGAATGGCTACTTATGGCTTGTTTTGTTACACATTTCTTATTTTTTTGAACATGTTTGTTTGACTTTTGTATGAATTAAATTTTGAAATAAGCTCGTCAACTGATCATAATGTCGCATAATGTTGTATTCCTTCAGAACTGAAATATTTTGTTCGTAAGAAGACAAATCGCTGAAGTTTGATTCTTTTCAATAAAGAAATAAAAACGCTGTCATTCATCTAAAAAAAATCTGTTTTCAGTGCCTAGTTTTCGTTTTGTGACATCTTTAAGCTTTCTTAATATACGGCTGATATCTAAAATACTGCAGTGTGTAATCCTAATACCCATACGTATACATAAGATACCGGAATAATTCAATTGTTACGAAATAAACGTGCTCAAACTGTGATAATGATGTAACAATAGACGGTATCTAAAACTCAAAGGCCGTAATTGGCCCGCAGACTGCGGTTTAGAACCCTTCAGTGTGGAATCGCACCTCAAAATTAGGGGGGGGGGAATTCACTGGGTACCGGTACGGTCAGACGGTACCGTACCGGCATCGCACGAGTGTCCAGACAACTGAGCAGTTAAGCAGCATTTTCCAAATAAATTACCTTCTACACGTAAAAACAAATTTTCGTATTCAATTCTATATTCTCTTATCATTATTATAAATATATTGCTTGTGGTTGAACTTGTAGCATGGGGAATTTATAGAACATTTTCATGTTGAATTTATTGAATATTGCTCATGAAAATCAGTAGTGAGTTAGAAACTCAGGAAACACATTTGTGCGTGTAGGATTAAGCCTGACAACGTTGGTCCCAAGCAGCATCAAATTTTCTAAAATAAAAACGCGCGACAACGATGGGCCACGAGGCGGACCATCGTTGTCAACCTTTTTATTTTCTTTTTATCCAATTTTTTTTTTTAATTTTTTTTTTTTTCGTTTTTATTTTTAATTTTTTTTTTTTAATTTTAATTTTTTTTTTCAATTATTTTTATGTTTTTTCACAACTATTTTTTTATTTTCGCTTTTGCATTTTTTTTAAAATTTTACGCGTGACAACGATGGGCCACCATACTCGTGCGATCAAATTAGAAAAAAAACAAATTACACGTGAAATCAAAACCAAGGACAAGTGTAAGTACGGCCAATCGTGTCGTACTGAAATCAAACATAACTAATTACTTAGCATCTACCAATTAGGCTGCTTAGTCGAAAAGTTTTGAGACCGTAAGTGCCGAGCATATCAAATTTCTGGTCATGAAGTAAAATTTATTTCACTCACCAGTACCATCAAATTGCCAAACTACGGACAAAAATTTGAAACTAGGCAATTCAGTATTGCCAACTACGGATAAATATTAAAACTAGCATATTTTTTCTAAGAAGCGCAGTATACCGCTATTGGTAATACTCTAATAAAACAACGACTTGATAAAACAGCGAATTATGAAAAGTTTATATAATAAATTAGAAATGAATGCGAATGTCCCAATCAAGTGTGAAACTTGGATAAACTGTATTGAAAACCGCTAGTCATGGTGACATGGCCACAGTAAAACATGTTTTGGTAGTTTGGTTTAGGTAGCCTACTATATAAAACAATAACTATTGTTATAAGTTTTAGTAAAATCTTACCAAAACAACCAAATTATCACTAAAACGCTGAAAAATAAAAATACCAATTATGCTCGAGTTGTTTTTCTGGTGGACGGAGAGACCTGTCCTCCGTCCGATATCGAAACAAGCCCTAACACGTCGCCATCAAAGGATGCATGCGACTTTAACCCAAATAAAGAGTTCAAGAACGAAATTCCTTGCAGTTCTGACAGAAATGACAATGCTTATAATGAACGACGACATTCAACTTGAACTAACATTGGCGTACCTCCAAAATGCTATAGTTTTTAATATAGAAGGGAAGAATGTTTTGAGAATTACGACTAGTTATTCCTGTTGCAGTGTGCTACTTTTTGGACTTCTTTGTTTATTATATCACGTCATTAGTACAATATTATTCTTCATGTTGTAATTAAAGTATTAGTGGTCGGATTAAGTTTGGCTGTAAATCAGCGACACAATCTAATTATGCTGCATGCTGTTGTGTTTAGATTAAGATTATATTCAATACCCTGTCATAACATGCTATGTATGTACATTACTTGGATGGATGCATACGTCATATGATATATAATTGCCTGTATATGCATACGACAATGACGTATATATATGCATATTTTTGGCTGTATTTGGCTATTTGCATACCACGTTAAAAACAACCATGACAAAAAAGACAAACACCTTTTGGAACCGTTCTTCATCCCCGAACTCAAAAAACAATCAAGAGTTTTTGAAATTTTATGAATGAAATACTTGAATTTTTTGCTTTGTTTGTACGCAAATCTACCGTGCAAATATGTTAAATTTCATCTAGAATGTGAACATTAATAAAGTCAGTCCAGAGCCGTACAGATTCACAATATAGTAGGTCGGGGGAAGTCGGACCCACTAATAAGTTATTTTGAATAACTCTTCAAATAATGTCGCAGCTGCATTCGTTCTACGATTGATTCATGCACCCACCCTCCAGCTATCTTGCCACATTTGCACATTGTTGCCATAGCAACGAATCGGAATTTACGCCCGATTTTCAGCTAAAAAAATATCGGGGTAAGTTAGACACTTTGTGGGAAAGACGGACACACACCAAAATTAACTTGATGGTGTCTAAGATTTCGGTCATAAGACTTCGGTCAACGCCTAGATGGCCCAGGATTATGTCTCTTAAATTTTTTTTAAACAGATCACTTTTCTTGCATATTAAAAAGTATGTCCGTCTTACCCCATAAAGGACATAACAGGGCAATTTTCGAAAGAGCTTGAACAGTTTTAGGAAAACTAGAAATTTAAAATTTAGTTTGCGCTTTTTCAACCGCAATTTTTATATCTTCTTTACACGGTCTACCTCTAGAAGTATTTATTTTGTAATTTCTTGGCATAACCTTGGGCGTATTTTATACGCATATGAAAAAAATAATTTGACGGGGTAAGATGAAATTTTACGCCGGGCTTAACTTCTAAGAGACCCAATATAAATATGGCGATGAGTGTGCTTTTGATCTTTGTTGTAAAAGGGAACTAATTCCCAAAAAATAATTATTTATAAGTTTCGATGACGACGGGCCATTGACATTTCCAACAGACTATATTGAAAAAAATCCTCCCCCCTCCCCCACTCAAAATCCACCCTACCTCTTAAGTGACCCTGCCAATCCAAATATGAGTACTGGCAGTCTGCTAAAGAATTTATTCGATCTAATGCAACTACTTTCAACAAATAAACAAAATAGAACCGAGTTCGCAGACTTTTCCGGCTAAAATTATTCTTCGCCACCATGGGAATCTATAATTTGACGTTTTTCTGACCCAACAAAAACACACTTTCCCCAAAAAGCACCGCCTTGTAAGTTGTCGAGCCTGGAATGTAAAATCTTGGTCTGTCGTTGTTCGCATGATGTCGCTCTTTCACGCGATGCGTTTTGAGCGACGAAAAAGCGCGAGGTGTCGCTAGTAGGAGGATTTTATTTTGACTGACCATCATACCCCGGGTGTCCGAACTACCCCGACCTACTATATGCATTCTATATATTCGCTCGAACCCCAAACAGTACTGAGCGGTTTTATCGTCATACTTTTGTGCCTCAAGTCTGTCGTGGAAGTTTTCAACGCTTTTTCATAATATTCCTCTTCGGTATCTTTGCACAGTTTGACACCGTTGAACTCATCTGTCGAATACCGGCTTTTATATGATCTGGCAGATGTTGCCCGCCTTCCTTCACCTTGCGATGTACAAGATCCTGTTTTCTTTTGTATACGAAATGAGTAATAGTCTCCCGTTAGCCCATCTACTTTATCGTCTTCTGGAATTTGCCACTCCTGAATGAAAATGCATTTCATATTCAGTTTGATTTACTACATATGTAATCATAAAATGTCCCTAGGAGTGTAAACCATCAAGTGCCAATTTGTTTCGTTTGGTTGCACATATTTTTGAAACCATGGCCCTAAAGTATACCAAGATGTGTTAGAATCGACCAAATCACACAGCACACTCGTCGAAATTAAAATTATAATTAATCATTCCACGATATGTAACCTAAATCTGCTCCAATGTTGATAGGAGCTAGCGAAACTCGTCAGGATGAATGAACAACATATATACAGAAATATTTTAACACGCTTCATAAATCAGGACATGAAAAGTTCAAATATTTATAGAGATATAATGACAGTCGTTGGGCTACAAGAATCACAAAATTTATGTTGAGGGGCTCATGTATCATAATCTAAAATTTGGGGAATAATACGACAGGAGGCTTAGGGAAAATATGGAAGCATTAATAAATAAATAAAATATTGAAATTTATAGGAGACAAGTTAAATTCAACGACTCAAGTTTGTTGTTACAAGTGGTGTTGGAAGAAAAAACATATCCCTTTTTTGTACACACATATTACACTTCTTACATGAATTCCTCTTATAAACGTTTTCATCCGTCGCGGATAATTTCTCGATGCGATTGTGGCTCGGTGCAGATCTAATAAATTTACATCTTCTGGGTTTGTATGAATCTTTTTGTGCAATCGCTGCAACGGACATTGATTGTAAGAGACTTCTTCGCCATACGCTCTTACATCGTCGCTTCTGAACGAACTAGCGGATGCAGTTCTTGTAAATGGTTTAGGAACAGCGTTATCGTTTGAGCAGTCTTCGACTATAGTCTCTTGCGTTTCCATAATTTCATCTTCAATAATATGAGGTTCTATAGTACATTTCTGTACTACTGAACTTACTTTTGTTTCCAAATCCGGAGCAGAGTATGGGCGTTTACTTCGGTTGAGTTTTCCTGGCTGCGTGTCCGACCGTAGTCGTCGATGCCCGTTCTTTAGAATGTCGCAAGATGACGTTGACGACGAAGAAGACAACAAATCCTCCCTCTCGCCATTTTGAATCAGTGGGAAATGAGTTGATTGAGATTCGAATGGATTTATATAGTCCCACTGTGTTTCATTTCCACAACTTGTCAGCCTCCCATTGTTAAATCTTGGTAAAGATTTCGATCGAGCGTTAAAGCGTTGGCCGTCCCTAGATTTTCTTGCATTTCTCATTTTCTGTATTTGTAACTGCGCTTTTCGCATCTCGTCCAACTTACGAGATAAACTTTTGTCGATCTCAAAACCTGCTGATCGCAAAAGATTTATACAAGCAGGAATCGTAACTTCTTCAGACATCGCAGTTGTATTCCCTGTAGCATAAAACAAAAAAACTATAGATTTATACCCAATTACTCGAACTCAGTGCTACCGATTAGTTTTCGTGCGACTAACTGCATATCGATTTTTGATGATAAAACTCAGATGGTGGATATATATACATCTAATAAAAATAAGTTGGGGGAGGAATGAAGGTGGTTCGCATTGACCAGCTTACACAATGCAGCTTAGCAATGTCTAAATATCTTTATTATACCCGCATCTTCATCGCTCCAGACTTTCATTAATGTCTTTGCGAAGTTACGACCCTTGTGGTACTTTGTAGTACAGTTCGGCATTGAACATTTAATTTTTTTGATGCTTGCGTCAGCTTGAGCTGAACGTTCAAGGTTGTCTCTTAGTCTTTTGGTAATCCCCTTACTTTCAAGTCCAAAATTAAAGTCAGCCTGTAGTTGAATGAAAAGTTGTTTAAAAAAAAGAAATTGTATCAAGCCCTAAGTATGGATACTAAGCATGTTTTTTAACTTGTTTTGCGATGGCAAAAAAAGTTTAAAATATCAACTATACTTATTAATAGTTCAATAGCAACGCCATTTTACTCAATACTCGAGAATGTGACCATGAAATGAAATTATGTTCTTAGAATATCCAAGGGCTCATTCAACTTTATTCCACAACGATGGCAATTTTCTCTTCACGTAAAACACGTGATTTCACGAATATATATTTCCAACGCATTTTATGAAAACATTTAGGTAATACATATATTTAGTATATTGCATTTTTATAATTCCCTGCCCTCGCAGTCTGTTAATTTTTCAATAAGCTTTGAAAAAATTCATCGTAACCATATCTACATATTGAAAACTTCATTTCTATTCGTTGTCGGTGTTTTATATTGCGAATAAGATAAATATCTTTAACAACATAATTTGTCTATAATGTAACGCCGACATCGTTGACGTCACTCCTGTCAGTGACGTGTTCTGTCCTTTGTTTTCAATAACGTTTTATACAAATAAATTCAGAGCGACAGTATTCAAATAGCTCCAACACAAACCTGTCGGTGCATTGTTTTCATGTGATCCAACTTTTTTTGTAATGCTTTTTCTTCCAATCGATTGCATTGTTGAAAGTTTAAGCCATTTTCTGCAAACGAAGATGTTTTTAAAAAAGACATCGCCTTGAATTCCCGGTCTCAATGTTCCCCAATACCCAACTATGATAAGAATATGACTGGAAACAAGCACTGCTAATATATATATACTGTAAAAATTATAACATACAGTATATTAGTATTTTCCTTCCTACGTTACGTTGTGCCGTTGCACATCGTTACATACATACATTTATTACATATGTATATACAGTATGACGTTTATCTATATACATTTAATTAAAAACTCCCTTAATCTCGGTTACTGAGTATTACACATATATTTACTCAATCAGTTACATTTACAACACTGAAATTAAAAAATCCGTAAACGTCGAAGACCAAGCATGTAACGCACGTGTACATGTGTTCTTGACAACACAATAACTTTGGATAGCGTTATTCCGTCTCGATCAAATTGAAGGCGCCATCAAATGATATCTTGGCGCTATATATCAAGTCGTAAAATGCTGACGATATGACGTAAAGGTTCAAGGGCGTTACTCCTTGGAAATGAATTTAAACCCTGTTACAACAAACGAACAGAAGTTATAAAATTGTGAATAATTAACGCGAAAATACGCCACCCTCATACACAGCACGTTCGTTCGCATTGGAAGGAATTTACAAGGATCGAAAAAAAATGCGAGAAAATAGAAGGCTTGAGCTGTATAATCTTGTTTTAAATCTTCCCATGATTTCAAATCAATGGTCTTTACCAGCACAAAGCAATTTGCCAAAAATCTTTAAAGCTAATATAGGGTCGCCGTTCATTGAATTGAACGAGCTCAACACATCGCACTGACCATTTAACTATTGTAAAACCTCTCGAAATACTCGTACATATAAGTATCTGTACAAGTTATATTGCTTAAAATAGTAGTCTAGTGACCAGCGATGGCGAACCACTGACCCGCAGGTCACAGAGTGACCCACCGCGTTTTATTCGTGACCCGCCAAGGCACAAATGTAATAAAAATAAAATTCTAACATATCAGTGATAAAAATTGATAAAATCGACCTTAAATTAATCCAACAATAACCAAACACGGACGACTTATCAATCGAAAGTTAGGGGCTCCTTCAAAACAGAAACCGCGGTTTCGATTCATTCGATATGACACCATAGCAACACCGTGTGTCTCATCACTAATTAATCAATAACTCGCTAGTTAACCGACATAATTCATCCAAAATCAATAGGCTTATGGTCCGAGATATGATGAATGCACATGCAAAATTTGAAGAAGATTCGAGAGATATCGCGTAACATACGAAAGTGTCTAACAGATAGATAAACAACAAACAGACGAATAACGTACTTACCGATTAAGATCGATAAGTAACTATTATTTTGTACCGTCAGTTGGGCAGTCAGGGCTGCGATCGCTCGTATTCAAATTGTTAATTTCTGTGCCGGTATGGTAATTTTTAAACCCCTAATGTTGAACGCATGTCTGTACCGCCGTGTACCGGTATTCAGCTATTGGCTCGAACACCGTTTATGACATAACAATGCAATTGATCTGTTCATTTCTTGCAACGTCTTGTCTCTTTCAGAAGTGCATCTGCAGACTTAGGGCTTATATATACTAGAACTAGATGCTACTTTAAATTTGATTAGTTTCTCGCCTACAATGCCGTTGAGAAAACAAAATCTTTCAGACTAGAAATAAAAATCTAGAATCTGAAATAACAATGGGGCAGTGTAAAAGTGCCTCAATGTGCTTGAAAACTGATTGAAAAATATAATATATTATAGTGGGATTCGCTCCAAATTCTTTGGAACCGTAAATACTTTACCGCTTCATCCTAAACGTTTTTGGTAATTCATATGGGTGTTTTCGTACTCTAATTTCATGAAATCGAGTGCCATAAAAAGTCCCTGATAGAAGTGCTGCATAGGTAAAGCACAAAACTACACTAACACCAACAGAAGCTTATAAGATTTCAGAAGTTTCTTAAAGATACAAACATTGAAAAAATAAATATCTGTGACCCACTCACTTCTGTTCCTCGATAAAAATATAATTTTTGGCCCATTCATTGTAAAAGGTTCGCCATCCCTGGCCTAGTTCGACATTATTGATTTTGATGCTCAATCGCGGACAAAACCAATACGAAAACAACTTTAAGTTGGCTCAACCATTACTCACCACGAACAAAGCTTCCGTCCGAAGAATGTGAGACTCAGACTACTTATGCATATACTTGGGACCTCCTGAAGTATGCGCACTAAGATGGCGCACAACCTGAACTCAGGTTGTGCGACATCTTGATGCGCATACTTCAGTAGTACTTATACTTGTAATGATGTCAGGGTGCCCGAATAAGGAACAATGGATTACTCACTGTTCTAAAAATTCTCAGAGTTCATGTCATGTCCTCAGTTACGCCACTTAGCCGAAGCCTCATTCTGATTTACGTAAATGTCTTAAACTGTATTTCGACAAGAAGTTAGATGCACTTAAACTGAACTAAAATAGTTTCATGCCTCATCAGAGTCACGTTCGCCACTTTAAAAAGTCAAGCATCTATTGTCAAAATCTATATGCATATTTTTGGCTGTATTTGCACACCACGTTACAAACACCACATGATGGCTGAACAAAAAAGACCAACCCCTTATGGAAACGTTCTTCATTCCCGAACTCGAAACATTCAACAGTTTTTGAAATTTTATAAATAAAATACTTGAATTTTTGGCTTTGTTTGTACGCAAATTTACCGTACAAATATTATATGTTAAATTTCATCTAGAATGTGAACATTAATAAAGTCAGTCCAGAGCTGTACGGATTCACAATATGCATTCTATATATTCGCTCGAACCCCAAACAGTACTGAGCGGTTTTATCGTCATACTTCTGTGCCTCAAGTCTGTCTTTGAAGTTTTTAACGCTTTTTCATAATATTCCTCTTCGGTATCCTTGCACAGTTTGACACCGCTCAACTCATCTGTCGAATACTTGCTTTTATATGGTCTGGCAGATGTTGCTCGCCTTCCTTCACCTTGCGATGTACAACTTCCCTTTTTCTTTTGTATACGAAATGAGTAATAGTCTCCCGTTAGTCCATCTACTTTATCGTCTTCTGGAATTTGCCACTCCTGAATGGAAAAGTATTTTATATATATATTGCTTAATCGACTACATATATTTTCATAACAGTTCATAACATGTCCAATTCATAACAGGAGTGTAAAGATGAGTTAGAATCGACTTCACCAGATTACGCAATACGCTCGTCGAAATTAAAATTTTAATTAATCATTTCACGATATATAGGCTAAATCTGCTACAGTATTGATATGAGCTAGCGAAACTAGCCAAAATCAATGAACAGCATACAGAAATGGGGTAACACACTTCAGAACATGAAAGGTTCAAATATATATAGATATATAATACCAGCCGTTGAGCTACAAGAATCACAAAATTTATGTTTGGGCGGCTCATGTTGAATAATCTAAAATTTGGGAAATAATACGACAGAAGGCTTAAAGGAAAATATGGAAGCATTGATAAAAAAAAATATTGAAATTTATAGGAGACAAGTTAAACTCAACGACCCAAGTTTGTTGTTACAAGTGGTGTTGGAAGAAAAAACATATTCCTTTTTTCGTAGACATATATTACACTCCTTACATGAATTCCTCTCATAAACGTTTTCATCCGTCGCGGATAATTTCTTGATGCGATTGTGGCTCGATGTAGATCTAATAAATTTACATCTTCTGGGCTTGTATGAATCTTTTTGTGCAATTGCTGCAACGGACATTGATTGTGAGAGACTTCTTCGCCATACGCTCTCATATCGTCACTATTGAACGAACTAACGGATGCAGGTCTTGTAAGTGGTTTAGGAACAGCGTCATCGTTTGAGCAGTCTTCGACTATAGACTCTTGCGTTTCCATAATTTCATCTTCAATAATCTGCGGCTTGATTGTACATTTCTTAACCACCGAACTTACTTTTGTTTCCAAATCCGGAGCAGAGTATGGGCGTTTGCTTCGGTTGAGTTTTACTACCGGAGTAATGTTTGGTTGCGTGTCCGACCGTAGTCGCCAATGCTCGCTCTTTAGAATGTCGCAAGATGCCGTCGACGACGAAGAAGACAACAACCGCTCCCTACCGCCATTTTGAATCAGTGGCAAATGAGTTGATTGAGATTCGAATGGATTTGTATAGTCCGACTGTGTTTCATTTCCATAACTTGTCAGCCTCCCGTTGTTGAATCTTGGTAAAGATTTCGATCGAGTGTTAAAGCGTTGGCCGCCCCTGGATTTTCTTGGATTTCTCATTTTCTGTATTTGCACCTGCGCTTTTCGCATCTCGTCCAACTTACGGGATAAACTTTTATCGATCTCAAAACCTGCTGATCGCAGAAGATTTATACAAGCAGGAATCGTAACTTCTTCAGACATCGCAGTTGTGTTTCCTGTAGCATAAAACAAAGAGCTAAAGCTTCATATCCAATTACTCGAACTCAGTGCTACCGATTAGATTTCCGTGCGGCTAACTGCATATCGGTTTTCGATGATAACACTCTGGTGGATATGTATGCATCTAATGCAAATAAGTTGGGGGCAGAATGAAGGTGACTATTCTATAGGTATCACGTCAAGCGCACTAACGCAAATGTATGTATGTACCATTTTTCATCGAGTTTCAAGTTGATGGATTTTTATATTATATTAGTAATCAATATTCAGTAAATTATTTTTGCCAGTAATTTATACATATCATTGCCGATTTATAAATGAATTACAACTGATGATACAAAAATACGACACAGAAAGCATAACCAAATCACTAAATTCCGATATGTAGAATCAGAATGATTTAGAACGGTAAAAATAGCTTCGAATAGTAACATCCGCATTGACCTGCTTACATCAATAATGCAGCTTAGCAATGTTTAAATATATTTATTATACCCGCATCTTCATCGCTCCAGACTTCCATTAATGTCTTTGCGAAGTTACGATTCTTGCGATACTTTGTACTACATTCCGGCATTGAACTTTTAATTTTTTTGATGCTTGCGTCAGCTTGAGCTGAACGTTCAAGGTTGTCTCTCAGTCTTTTGGTAATCACCTTACTTTCAAGTCCAAAATTAAAATCAGCCTGTAGTCGAATGAAAAGTTGTTTAAAAAAAGAAATTGTATCAAGCTCTAAGTATGGATACTAAGCATGTTTTTTTCTTTTCAACTTGTTTTGCGATGGAAAAAAGTTACTTAAAATATCAACTATACTTATTAATGGTTCAATAGCAACGCCATTTTACTCAATACTCGAGTCGGTGAAATGAAATAATGTTCTTAGAATATCCAAGGGATTATTCGACTTTACGTAATTTCACGAATATGTATTTTCAACGCATTTGATGAAAATATTTGGGTAATAGATATACTTAGTATATTGCATTTTTATAATTCTCTGTCCTCACAGTCTGCTAATTTTTCAATAAGCTTTGAAAAAATTACTCGTAACCATATCTACATATTGGAAACTTCATTATTATTCATTGTCGGTGTTTTATGTTGCGAATAAGATAAATCTCTTTAACTAACATAATTTGTTAAAACGCCGACATCGTTGACGTCACTCCTGTCAGTGACGTGTTCTGTCCTTTGTTTTCAATAACGTTTTATAAATATAAATTCAGAGCGACAGTATTCAAATAGCTTCAACACATACCTGTCGATGCATTGTTTTCATGTGATCCAACTTTTTTCGTAAAGCTTTTTCTTCCAGTCGATTGCATTGTTGAAAGTTTAATCCATTTTCTGCAAAGGAAGATGTTTTGAAAAGAGACATTGCCTTGAATTCTTCGTCTCAATGTCCCCAAATACCCAACGATGATAAGAATATGACCGGAGAACAAGCACTGCTAATATACTGTGAAATTATAACATATACTGATATATTAGTATTCTCCTGCCTACGTTACGTCGTACCGTTACACATCGTTACATACATTCATTTATTACATATTTATATACAGTATGACGTTTATCTATATACATTTAATTAAAAACTCCCTTAATCTCGGTTACTGAGTATTACACATATATTTACTCAATCAGTTACATTTACAACACTAAAATTAAAAAATTCCTAAACGTCGAAGACCAAGCATGTAACGCACGTGTACATGTGGCCTTAACAACACAATAACTTTGGATAGCGTTACTCCGTCTCGATCAAAATGAAGGCGCCATCAAATAGTATCTTGGCGCTATATATCAAGTCGTAAAATGCTGACAATATGACGTAAAGTTTCAAGCGCGTTACTCCATGGAAATGAATTTAAGCCCTATTAAACAAACGAATAAAAGCTATAAAATTGTGAATATATAATTAACGCGAAAATACACAGCACGTTCGTTCGCATTGGAAGGAATGTACAAGAATCTAAAAAAAAAACACGAGAAAATAGAAGGCTTGAGCTGTAAAATCTTGTTTCAAATCTTCCCACGATTTCAAATCAATGGTTTTTACCAGCATAAAGCAAATTGCCAAAAACTTTGAAACTAATATAGGGTCGCCGTTCAATGAATTGAACGAGCTTAATAACACATCGCACTTATTTAAGTATTGTAAAACCTCTCGAAGTACTCGTACATATAAGTATCTGTACAAGTTATATTGCCTAAAATAATAGTCTAGTCCGACATTATTGATTTTGATGCTCAAACGCGGAGAAAATCAATACGAAAACAACTTTATGTTGGCTCAACCATTAACCACCACGAACAAAGCTTCCGTCCAAAGAAAAGCGGGACCCAGACTACTTATGTACATACTTGTAATGATGTCAAGGTGCCCAAATACAGAACAATGGATTACTCACTGTTCTAAAATTTTTGAGAGTTCATGTCGTGTCCTCAGTTACGCCACTTAGCCGAAGCCTTTAACCTGAATTACGAAAATGTCCTAAACTGTATTTCGACAAGAAGTTAGGTGCACTTGAACTGAACTAAAATAGTTTCATGCCTCATCAGAGTCACGTTCGCCATTTAAAAAAATCAAGCATCTATAGTCAATATTTCTTCAATTTCTAACAGCTTTCAGTTAATCAAAATCGAAGTGGTTTATCTAGAGATTTCTATAACAAAACTCTCTAATAGGTTATTCATTTTATTCAGCAACCTGCAACTACCTATTCACTTTTATATTTACAATTTTTCTTGTTTTTATTCAAAATTTCTTTCAAATTCTTATGGATACTTAGGTCTTTTTCGAGATTAAACTCCCTGCCTCATTCTTGTTATGAGTATAACATTACTTCACGGTATTGATAGACCACTTCAAACGGGCGTTTTCGCGACATGAAGATAAAATTAAAGTCCGGCCTCAAACACGATATTAAAAATATTTTAATATCATAACTCTGTATAATAATGTTTGAATAGCTGCCAGAGGACGAGAGCACTCGATATTGTAAACTCTCTTTACGGGGGCACGATTCCCATTTCCCAAAATAGCAGCAATATGTCTCGTTAGAGGATTGTGGAACATGTCTTTGTTTGTTTAAAACCTTCATTTATTATGACGGTGAACTTGAAAAAACAAACGAGACAATGTAAATTCAAGAACGCGCGGTGACGAATCAATATTATGGTTACAATTCCAAAGATCTAGTCTTTTTTGGAGGAGTGAAAGGTGACGTGATGGATGACCTCGTACTCAGACAAAATGTCGCTTCTGAACCAGTGGCCACATTATACTCGTATATGGACGGACCAGAACTGAACAATACCGAACACGTATGCCCCGAACCAGGCATATAAAGGCAAATGTAAAGCGGTATCTTCTTAAATTTTAAATCCCTGACTGCGGGCCAGATTGTTTGTACTATTGTATCGAATTCAATTGAAATTCTCAGAATAAATACCATCTTGTCCGCGCGCGAAACATCCATAATAGCAAATCATTTCTGAAGAGGAGAGCGAAACCCATGTTTGCGGAAGAAATTGTTAAAGTTTATAGAAGTTCCGTCAAACCAGCATTATTGATGTATCCGCGACTTGATATTTATTTACTTACATAAGTCCAATCCCCAATGTATAAATACTCGTTACTAGTTTTTGAGGTACAAATGCCGTATTATACAAAGCCCATGCTTGATTGTTATACGCCTTGTAATCGTAATCTTCATATCTGCGTTGTGCGAAGAGTACAATTCGCATTCAGATGGGGACACGAAGTTTAATATAAAAGCCTCACATGTGGTCACAAATTTATTACTTGTTAATCCCACAAACTAGCTCAGTACGTATGCCACTGCGCCTCTATACAAATCGGTAATTGGAAGCAAAGACCGAAATTTACTAACAAACAAGGGTACCAGCAACTTTAAACAATTTAGGAGCAACGCGGATGCGCTGGGTGCTCAGTTTAATCCGTTTACGAGACAACAAGTTTCTTTTCTTATCGCTAGAGCAAACAAACTAATGTACTCAATATATACCAAAGGTTAATCGTTTTCAATCGAAATCAAATATTTTTATCTGTAAGTGTAACCGAAGAAAAATATCATCGCATAATATCAAATAGAGATACATCTGGTGACAACCACGAATACCACCTGTGCGCTAAAATATTGAAACATAAAAATGCCAGAACTTAATCGAACTCCACGGATGCGTGATTTAAAAAAAAAACTTGTACATCGTTTATACGTGTTTATTTTAATGATCCGTAAAATGATGTTATACTCAATCGATAATATTTTTATCATCTCTACATATTTTTATGATAAATATATACATTACCTAATTTTGTACTTGAATTTATATTTTATAAACGGTCATTCTAGACTGACTTGCGATTCCTCCAAATTATAGATATTCGACACCAATATATTCACTCTTTGACGAGGAGCTATGATGTAGAAGTAAATAGTCGCTTAGAGCCTTAGACGCAAAGATACACTAATATTGGGAATGATGGGATCTATTCGACCAATATATACCACCACGTATAGTACCCCTTGGATGGCAACCTTACACATTAGCGAGGTGCTTATATTCATTTGTATACTATAGTCCGCAAAAGTTTAATGTTGATGCTTTTACTAATACAACGCTCAAAAATGATTATAAACTAAACAACTTCAAAACTCGCATAAATTTTAACTTTTTGTCCAAACTACCACCACCCTCGTCATCAGGTCAATTGTATAATAATAAGATTGCTGCTTTTCATAGAACATGAGTAAACAAACTAATGTACTCAATGACAAGCCTTAATCGTTGTCTTCGGAACTCAAACATTTTTATCTATGACCGCGCCACACTATCCCCGCAGCGTTAGCAAACAACAACACGTTTATTCAGAAGTTGAACTGTAACCGCCGTTCTGGGACTGGGTTAAACGTCACTGATTGCGAACAACTTTTAATCTACTTCATTACTTTCATCAAATAATTCATACATTCATTCATGGACTAAGGTCAAAACTTTTTATGCTGAGTATAGTATAACTCGACGACATGCACACGCATGCCCCATAGTTGCGACTGGGATTGCAGTGCAGATCAGATATCTTTCAGTTTGCAGTACAATTTTATAATTGACGGAATATGAAGAAGTTTGCTATAAAGACTACAATCAGCAAATCAACTGATGGTAGATAAAATCACATCAGTGGGGTTAACGACTGAGTTGCCGTACTTGACAAACCAGTTGCTTGCTACTTTTCAATGAACAAAAAATGGTTTTGTACAAAAATTAAATGTTTAAACTTTAAAGCTACAAAATAAATAAAATGAGTCAACAAAATTACGAAAAATGATACGAAATATGCTTGGAATAATTAGTGGGATTTAGAGTTTTAGACACCCGAATACGCCAATAACTCATCAAACTGTAAAGATTATACTCACACGTATCTATTATTTGGATTATAAGTTTATGCTTCCATGTTTAGAAATTCTGAATCCCACCGGCTGCAGTATGTGCTATTTCTACGAATATTGCGTCATCCTGTGGTATTACGTCAGAGCAGTCCGCCTTCATTTTTACAAAGCCCAATATACGTCAGAATATGACTTTTTAGGTTTAAATTGGAAAAATGAATGACATTTCTTTAATTGTTTTATCGGATAGTATTAAAAATACTTTGTAACGTAATTTTGCTTCGTAACCTGTAGTGAGTTTTTCAAGAACTGTTGCATACCATTTTTTGTCAAAACTAAACACTGAATTCTACACCATCTATGTACAGTAGGGGACGACTTCTAGTTTATTGTATCCAATAAGTTCATCGTTTTCTGACTTAAACTATATATGAATACTATAATTATTGACTTTTTACAGCTTGCCCTAATTATATACTGATGTTTTCAAGTTCAACTCTGATATTCATGATAAGTGCTTGTATGCAGTTTAAATCTGGTCCCTAATTATTTTCATTATGAGTGTTTCATAAAAAGTGGCCACAAATGTCATGAATTGTTCGTGCGCACCTAACCTTGGTGTTATATGGACTGGAAACGCAACCAGTCATGATTAGTTACTTTCTTACATTTACTCGTGCCATTTGAATAGCTAACAGTCAGTCGGTTGGCCTTGTTGATCTCGAAATTTTGTCCTTCATGTTCATTAGTTTAAATACAATAACGATATAAATAAAATGCTAACAGTAGAGGTTGCGCGAGACTAACTACCGATCCTTTCTCAATGCCTTTGCGCTAGTGGATAAGTATGCGTATAATGCAAGGATGCTGTAACAGAAATAAAAATACCATACTATGCAATTCAAAAGTCCTGCTGCAAACTAACACAAACGTATTTCATGTAACGTTTCATTTGACCAAAATCAGACTTTCTCAGCAGGGTTCTTGAATTGCATAGAGGTAATAAAATGCATTCGCAAATAAATCATCATCTCTAGTTCTGCCACAAAATCCATGATTCAGCATTCTGTATTGTCTTACTTTTATAAAACTAACAATGATGTTTTGAAGAAATCGCCTCACCTCTGGCCAATAATAGTTTGTGCTTGTACTCGAACATAAGTAAGAAAACTAAATAAAAAAAAATTAATTTATTCCACTTTTTTAAATCGCGAGATTTAATTGCAGTGAAACTCGCAATCGGGACCAGAAAATGGAACTGAATATGGAAAAGTTTGAACGAAAAATTTGAGAACTCAAAATCGATCATCACATTTTTGGGTGGACGTTGTGGTCAATGTTATGATAATGATCACTCGGTTTTTGTTTGATTTGAAACACCGGGATATGCAGACATTTAATTTTTTTATGCTCATCTTACGCACAGTGGCTATTTCATCCAATATGTATCGTTTTTGCGAACAAACCAAAATAAAAATTATCTTGCCCGCCCCTCTTTTCGAGTATATTTTATGATTGTTTTTTCCATCCACTGTAATCTGTACATTTTTGATAAACAGTATTCGAAAATAAACAAATTATCTACCGGATCTGTCTATCATTAATATATATCACAAGGTGTCGGAAGAGAGCATAATTTAGGACACGTCATCTCAGGGGTTTCCCCTGGTCATCCGATGTTTTGGTTTTTGTTCAAAGTAGCGCGATTATTCGTGTTCGATAATGACGCGGCCGGTTTTTGAGTCATTCCGTCACTGCAAGTATTTATTCTTTGCTTTTTCATTTATCTGCCTCCTAAGTTTGTACCTTAATTGTGTTGCACTCCCTAATTGCAGGATATGTGTAATGTTTATTTTGTTATTTTTAGTTATCTTAATTAAATCCGACCATTTACTACCTATAAAAAGTGTCATTGTACTACTGTACTATGCTACATCTAATGCAACTAAAATGGGCAGCATTGTTGGCATCACTTGGTGCTCTAACCTCTTTGCTGAAGGCGCAAGTCCATACCCAAACATTCAAACCAGGAAAAGAGACCAACCTGGACGATCTTGTCAAAGTCTTTCCGACACCACACTCAAACGTTAACGAACCAAAAGGAAATAGGTGAATATTCAATATTTCCAAACTACGATAGCGTAGACAGTTAAATCGGTATGTCTGTAGTCATTCTTTCTTTTTTCTTATGTCCCTGGTCTGTCTGTCTGTTGGTAAAGTCTTGGTAATTCAGTAATTGCTGAAAAGAGTTATTCAGAAATAAGAGAAAGCTTGTAACCCTTCAAAACAAAAAACAACTTTTGTTGCTTCATTGTTGAAAGTCGAGTACATCACAGTTCTCTGATTCCCAGAAACCCTCACATTGAAACACATCAATTGTAACAATGAATGCAAACCCCTCCTTTACGAGATCAATCTAAGCGCAATCTGAAAATGTAGTCATTGGATTCCTCTGAAAAATATAATCAAATTTACTGCAGGAAAAAAAATTGCTATATATAGCATTCTAGAGTTTTAGCAAGAAAATGTCTAGCGGAGACACTGGTCATGTGACGACCGATGCATGTCACGATTAATTTTTATTATTATCGTGACAAATATTGCATGATCTTACACATCTGCCGTCGTGCCAGCCATCTTTGTTAGGGTCTAACTAAACTACTGTATTTTCACTATGTCTAGTTCTAGTATCTACCAAGACTTCACTTAATGAGGATGTTAGCTTCTGGTATAGTAAAGAAGTAATAGAGCCCAAATGTCACAACGTTATAAAACACTCTTTCATTATACTACATCCTGCATAATATGTAACACATAATACATAGAATTCCCTAATTGTTAGTATATCTCTTCCAACATTTCTTTAATTATTCTTAGCCCATTTATTGTGGTGAGTACATTGGATGGAAAAATATCAGCGTTGGACACAAAACATGGTGGAAAGTTGTTGTGGACAATGGATATTGGGAGCGGCCCACTCGTTTCATCGAGCATTTCCAAACTGCAAATCAACCAGGTTGTTAAACTTAGTAATTATTACATTTTTTGTAACCAGGTTCCTTTGAGAATACTTATTAATCAGATAGTTAAATAATTTATTACTATTATACTGCTTGGACCAGTGTTTTCTACCATGTCATCCAATCTGAACTGTAATCAACTAATAATCTTTTGCTTAATGGTACCAACAATTCTCTCAAATTTAAAAAGGTCTTTTGGGTAAATCTGTTATTTGTTTTAAATATTTCGTTCATCCATATATATATTATTATAGTGAATTTATTTTGTGATTACTTAGAAAGACAAGATTAACAAATATTTCACCTTCTAATAAACAGACATGATTGAACCTTTGGCACTTCACTAGTCTTGTGCAATGGATTGGCAACAGAGAGCTTCTAATAATGTTATCATAATAGTACAGTTTCATGAATGAAAGAATTGCGAATTAAAGATATTCACCTGTAAATTTGATAAAAAAAACATAATATAGTGCTTTTTTTCTTTGACTCTGATTTAGTAACCAAATTTTTTTTCTATTTATTTATTGCAGGATGGGAAGACAATCAGACTCATACCTTCATTATCTGGTGGCTTATTCAAGTTTGATGGAAATTCTGTTGAGGTATGTTTGTTTAAATTCAATAAAATATATATTTTTTATGCTTGAAAAAGTTGTAAATGGTAATATAGTTTTTTCGGAATAGATGTACATTACCTTCCAGGAAATAGTTATTCCCATACGGCCATACATAAATATATCTCATTTGAAATTGGCCTAACAAGTACGGTAACTATTTGTCAGTTTACTATCTATTTTTTTTATTTTAGGCTTTGCCATTTTCAGCTGAGCAGTTACTATCATCTTCATTCAAAATTTCTGATGACTCTATACTGGTTGGTGGAAAAGAAGTAACAACATTTGGACTAGACTCTAGTAATGGAAAGTATGTTTGTGTATTAATTAAATGCTTCGACGGATAATTATGTGGGAAAGAATTGCTGGTCTACACGCTAATGTAGGGTAGTTCATGATATCGCGAGATTGTTATTGCATCCTCTACAAGAAAGTTCATAAATCTGAGAGGAATATCTGGTTCACTATTTCCATATCTGGCATATGATAACTAGACAAACGGCTGCAGCTTGCCATAGGGTTAAGCCATCTTATTGTCTTTTTTTCTCTTCTGGAATAAATAGAAAGAGTGTTATCCTCCTATCCTGAAAACAAGCACATTTCTATTAACAAAATCACTTTAAATAATCTTTTTATGTAATTGGTGTATGGCTACATTGTATTGCAGTTGTTCTGTATTGTAGTTGGGGTAACATCATTTTTTGTCTTTTCTAGTATTGTATATCTATGTTCTGCGTATGGATGTGAAACATTTCATGAGGTATCACCAACAACCGATGTAATTATTGTCAAAAGAAGTCAACAAACAGTTCGTTCTGTGGAAAATAGGCATGGACGTGAAAAGTAAGAATAACATTTACAGTCAGTTTTTGTTAATTTGATTTCCAAGATTTTAAATGGTATATAATGAGTGACATCAATTCATTGAATATATATTTATAGAAAATGTAGAGAAGTGAAGGATCAAATTGTAAGGGAGAGGGTGATCATATATAGGAGAATTGATAGGTCACTTGCTTTTGTGTGGTTTTCATTTTCCATGAGACATCTTTATGGGTGTGGCATTCTCCACCAACCATGTCCAAGTATTTGAAAGGAGAAATGGTCATCCATATTCCAGACAAACTGCTAACTGAGTGACTAAAATGATGATATTTCACAAGCCTCTTCTGTTATCCATATGACAATTCACTAGCAATAAATCTTTTATTCAATTATTTGGACATTATATTCTGTGTTTATCTAACTTTTCTTTTACAGTTGGAACTTTACCGTTGGCGAAGTCGAATTGGAGGTTTCGAGAGGAAAAACTTATCAGCTATTAGAACATTCTGGGGATGAAAGCAGTTCGAATGAACAGGTAGGCTATGTAGCATCTTGATTTTATACGAAAATTCTTTTCATTTCACAGATTTTTTTACTGTACAATAATTCTCAAATGTTAATAGTCCTATTAATAAAGCATACATAGAAGTAATTTATGTCCTAACATCTCAGGGGTCTACCACAATGCATCATCACCATCAGGATAACTCTCACTCTGAAGGGAATCCAGATGCTTCAAGTAAGTTTTCTTAGGGCACAATTTCATGACTTGCTATAGTATTGTAGTCGCTATTACTGATTATGTCTTTGTTTTGTGTGTTTATTATATTTATATTTGGTATTTCAAAATTCTGCTCTACCATTTATTTCATTTTCAAATATACTGAATTTATCCGTTATTTAAAAAAATCAAGATGTATTACAATATGGAATGATATAAAGACTTTTTAAAACTTAATACAACTTTGCTGTGATAAGCCAGTAAAAACACGCGTATTCCTTACATGAGGCATCTTTTATTTGAAAATTTTTCAACATACAATTTTGTTACTGTCTCAACATGTGATTCTGTTGTTAAATTGCTATTTTTATTACTGTCTGTAGATGAAATTATGAGGTACGCTTCAGTCAGTATAAACTCAGGCATAATATCAATGCTTTTTGAGCCAATCTTAAACAATTGCTGGTGTGGCTCACTTTCATTCATATTATTATTCACATTCTAGCGGACCCAAAATCATCGAGTATATTCTCAAAACTGAATGTATTAGTTCCAGAAGGCACTATCTACAAGTTCAATGATGAAAATAAACCTAGTTTGGATTGGAAGCACAAGGTATGCTGCCACTTGTAATAGATTAACATGTGGAATAAAAATAGATCTCAATAGTCAATTTTTTATGTTTAATAAATATACTAAAACATGTATTTAAAACGTCATATATGTTGAATTTTGCAATGGTGAATCAAAAAGAGTAGATTACTGAATTCAAGTTTCATTATGGATTATTTAAAATCAAACAAAATGGGAATTGAGCCTCATAGAATAGGATTAGGATTTCATGTTTATCCTGAGATAGATGAATCTGATAAGACAACTTAATTATATGGCCAATCGTGGCCTCTTATTTGGTTACCGGCCCATGTCCAGTATTGTAATAGTTATCAGTTATTCGTTCCAGATACATTAACTTACCGGTAATGGTGAAGGAAGCAACCAATGGTCATGAAATCTATCTTATGACGGCAGTCTTCTTGCACATAATTATTCCTTACATGATTCGATCGAACCTGCGCAGGGTAAACAGTTGTGATGACAAACGTATTCCTAGCGCCTAGCATAAAGTGACGTTGATTGGATGCATAATGTGATATTATCTGAATTTACCATAATTTCTAAACAAGAAACTTTTTTTTAGTTTGACAGTCCAATTGCAAATGCTTGGTATGTCAATGGAGGAAACTATCATAAACTTGATTTATTCGATCCAGAGACAGTTCCTGCATTGAGGGATAGAAATCATGGCGGAAGTAACGGAGACCCCACTATTTATATGGGTGAGAGTCCTTATCTTGACTTTCATTTTAGGAACCTATCATTTATTGATTGTATAGTTCAGCATATTTTTATATCTTGCCTGGCTCTCTGATATAATTGCTTGACGATGATTGGTGACTGGCCTTTACCAATTAAATGGGGACTGTAATGTAACTGAGGATTCGTTATCTTTGAGTATTCAAATCAGATCTTTCTTTATTTAAATCTAAATCATTCTTTATTTTGCAAACGTCGGCCCCATACTTTAATTTTGAATATTTGAAAGTTTCCTTTTATCAAATAATTGTTAGATAAAGTTTTAGCTCATATTTGTATTTAACATCTATATACGAAAACAACTGTGGCGCTAGAATGAACAATGTGAATAATGATGTATTGGTTTGCAATTAATCACTAGCCAGGGATCTACTAGTTGCAGGTGTTATTAAACTATTTCTACTTACTCAGTTTTCCAAGAATCGTTTTCTTTTTTTAATCTTAAAGTTACAGGCACTGAAATTTATCTAGGTGCAATCAGGAATATATTATTTGTAAGGACCGTACCGCAATAATTTTTTAACTTTAGCATATGGATCTTCGGTAAAAATAATTGAGTAGTGGTTAGCACCTATGTAGATCAATTCCATGCCACATATCACAAAAAAATTATTTACTGTATTAACTTTACTTCTAATGTTCAGGTTTTTATGGAAGCCACGTCTACATTCAAGTGTCATCCACTACCAGGAAAGCAATAACAAACAGTATGATGCCTTCACCTCGTTCACATGTTAGACCAAGATCTAGATCTCCTTTGTAAGTGGAACTATTGATCAAACTATTATTATGAGAACTATATTGGTTCTGATAATGTTTTTTGTACAATATGGCATTTCCTAAAGAAGAATGCTGCCAGGATGAGTTTACACAAACTCTTCTTGTACAGTATAATTCACAATTCTTTATCCAATATATATAGGAAACTAAAAAAAAACGGTAATCGTTTAATAAATATGTGGGTTATAATCAGACATGTGAATAGAATTTTTCACAACAACGTTTTTATACACAATTTACTTTTATTAACAATGCTCTAAAATCTTTCCTGTTCGGCCTTGCCTACCCATTTTAATACACTGTGGCCTGTGGGTGAGGTGATGGGCATGAAATTTCAACCTGCGAAGCTGCAATACCATGTGGTTAGTCTAGCACTCAAATCACTTATTCACTTATTGATTAATCTGAAGACTAATGCATATTGAATTTTTTTTATTCAATTGTATAGACATAACTATCTCTTAAGTATTTGTGAATTGAATTTGAATATTTTATATATCTACTTCGTTATTGTTAATATTCAATGATCAAATCTCTTTCAGTAACCAGGTAGTGAAATTTCCATATCGACCATTTACGGCATCGTCTGATCATTTGAAACGTGCTGTTGTGGGTGAATCTAAAGAAGGTGAAATTCAAGTTTATCAGAAAAGCAATGCAAAAGGAAGTTGTGGGAACAATCTTGCTATATACAGAGATAATACTAATGGCGAAGGTCAGTGGAATTTTCTATTATGTTTCTAATTGAAATAGTATTGCAGATCAATTGTATGAAAATGCCTATATAACTAACCAGTCATTTCTTAATACCTGGAATGAAATGTATTTCACAATCAAACATTATATTTATATATAACTAGTTACGTGTTACACATTATTCACTCCATCTAGTGTGGAACTAATGAGAAAACTGGTTATTGAGCAATAGACATGTGTGCTTAATCGAAAAATTATAGGGACTAATTTAATTACTAAATATTAAATGAATAGGAAAGATTGTTTGAAAATTATTTCTTGCGCATATGTATCATATTGTCCACTACTCTGATTCACCTTTATCAGGTCTTTCTTGTTCTGAATTCAGTTCCGTTTAGTCATTGGTGAAAAACTACTCATCGCTACATTCTTCCTTTTGAAGTGATCAATAGAAATATTAATAATTTCAAATCCAATTCAAATCATTTCATATATGTATAGCTTTGCCTATCCCTAATTGTTACCATATATTATAGTTTTATCTTACTCTTTTGATTTTGATACCAACATTAGTACATTAAGAAACGAATAGAATGATCACACAGGCAATTGGAGTTAAACTTAATTTGAAATTTGTGAAAGTAAAATATTTATAAAGCACTAAATATTTTCCCTAATATTTGCTATTTTGGAATTAAATCATGATAATATTACTGGCTTTTATATTGTAAGATTATGTTGCTGAGCCCCCCTTTTTAACCAGTAACAACTTTTATACAATTTCGCCTTTTTTTCAGATGTTGGATATTACTTTAAGAGTGATATTCCATACTTCATATCAATTTCGGAATCTGGTAAAAAGGGAAGAACAACTGAATTAGATGATGGAAATGAATCATATGGGTAAGGATATCGAAAAAAATATTTGTGGAAATTTGAAATGTCAATACTAAAGCTAGTTTTAAAGTGCGCTGTGATGGAATCATATTGGGTACTCCCCTAGTGTGTGTACCAGGTTGAGGCATAATTTTACTCCGATTTTCTTTATTTTAGTTCTGTTACGAGTCCGAAGTATGTCTGTGTTAGCCAAGTGAATATACCACATGACCATAGGTTTCAGTCCTTTTACACAACTTAATCTAAAGTAGAGCGCCCATATTTGCAATATTATTTAATTTTAGATGTCGATTAGTTTGTATGCGACTAGGAATTGGGTTAGAAAAGGGTTTGTTTTGAGAGAATGGAAGAAGCCCTAATGGTAGTATCAATATCTTGACTTTATTGGGTGGAGCAGTGCAGCATCTGGGATTTAGGTTATCTGATTGTCGACCTATGTAGATACAGAATAAAGGGGGTATTTTTTGATAAAGTTAGTTTGACAAAGCTCAAAATTGATAAATACACTGCCTGTACATCGTAAATTTTTTGATTGATGATAATAATTGTGTTACAGTAGTATTGTTATACTAACATTTATAGCAGTCCAATATACAGTAATCAGAAGTATAATCTATAGCTCAGTCGTCCTATATTTTATGCTTGGCAAGTTAACCTAAATTCTATTTTCTCATTTTGAATATGAGATGTATTCTAAATTGGGTCATGATCAATAGCAAACATTTGTCAGTATAGTGTATATTAAATGGGTTTTTAATTTGAAGACCTTTTTGATCATATTGTAAGACACTTCATTTGCTTAAAAAAGTTTCTATCAAATTTCCAATTGATTTTGCTAGAAACACTTCACTTTTGCATCGTATTGCAGTGGCACTATATTATGGAAAGTCATATTCAAATCTAACAATTTCATTTGTCAGAAACTCAAACATTGATGTTGTTTATTCATCTTTCATGCATTGGTGGAAAGAAATCTTATTCATTAGCGTCACGACATCGATATTCATGCAACTCTTCATCGTTAAAATTATGCAACTATCTAAGGTTTGTTTTTTTTATGTGCGAATGTGTTGTGGAATTAGAATCATGTAAAAAGTCGTTTTCCATGTATGGATGTATATTTGATATTGGGAATGTGTTACAATATTCAATTTGTCATAGCTAAAATAATGTATATTTGCTATATGTGTCAGATTTAAGAAGTTTATATACTGGGTGACCCCAAAAACCAAAACCTACATCATTTGAAACATATCTTAGAACATAAATTTTGTGCAAAGTGTCTTGGATTATTGAAACCTTTTGGATGCAATCATATACAAACAAAAGTTCAAGAGTCAAATAAGTTTTCTTCATAGAAGTAATAGAGATATTCATGAGTTCTGTTTTTTGGGTCACTCACTCACTCTGTATAACCGTGGGATTGCATGACTAGCAACTATTCAATATCTTATGTATATTATGCATGTGCCGTTTCAGCACGAATAAGTTGAACATATATTTGGATACACCAAATTCTATATTGCTTGTCTGTACATTTGTGAGGTGTTATATCGACAAAAATGTATTGAATCGGTACAAAGGCTAGTTCAGGTAATAATTGTTAAACAACTCGTTAAAACTTTAGTAAGCAACCATACCAGGTAATCGAAGAAGTGACTGATTTCAATTAGTATGCACATCCTCTGGTTAAAAGTATTTATAATTTTTAGAGCAAGGATGAAAATAGCCTAAAATCAAGTTCTGGTAGTTACGCTGATGCATTATCTGATATCCAACCTCAAATGGTTAATGCTTCAACTTCATTTCAATCAAGATATCTGAATGATTTTGAACCGATCCAGTGTCTTGGGAAGGTATATTGTTTTTTTTTGGGCTGTTCGCTTCCTTTTTTTACTCTAACAAGGCAATAAGTAGGTGAGACGATATTTGAAAAAAATTTGAGCTTTGTTATTGCAAGAACTCGCTTATTGTTTCTTTATATATATTGTCAGTTAATTCATGTAAATGTCTCAGCTTAGTCTAATTCTTAGCTTAAATTCTTCAATTGTCTTTGACTATGGTTTGTTCAATTTGAGTCAAGTCCGTTTTATAACAAACCTATGGATTTATGTTCAGGAAGGCGATTTTACTAATTTAACATATATGATGATTTGCAGTTCACTAAACCAATTTTTTATTAAAAAAATGAATTTTTGTAATCTAAATCGGGGAAAGACTGAATATTTTAAATTTCAATATTGTTGGAAAGCTCTACCTTTTCTGAACAACTACTTAGATTTTTTGATTTGAGTTTGTTTCTTGTTTTAAACTTTGTGAGTTTGCTTAAGAATAAATATTTACCAGATTTGATTTGTTTGCAGGGAGGTTTTGGAGTTGTTTTTGAATCTCGTAATAAAGTTGACCATTGTAGTTATGCAATAAAAAGGATTCGACTACCTAACAAGTATGAAAATTCATTGTTTTTCACAGTTTAATCATTTAGTGTGAATACAGTGTGAACCTGTCTTAACATCTTACCACAGAGAATGATCATTTTTAATATTTTGACTGAAGTAATACTGCTCCCTTTTATTTTATGCCACTGAATATATATTTTCTATGCACAATATATACACTTTTTCCCTAAATAAGGCTCTGCACAAGCAGTCACACACACCCTTTGTTGGGGGGGGGGGGGGGTCATCGGGATTTGAACCCAAGATTTTAATCTGCCTTGCCATCATACCTAAACTTCACCAACTAAGCCACCCACTGCTTCGACATATGATTACCCCATTGAACTTGTAAAATTTCAGGCAATCTGCGAGAGATAAAGTGATGCGTGAAGTACGTGCTTTAGCCAAACTAGAACATTCTGGTATTGTCCGGTATTTTAATGCTTGGACTGAAGAACCACCTCAGGGATGGCAAGAAAAAGCTGATCGAGAATTGTTGTCAGATATCAGGTTGGCCTATGTTTTAGTATATCAATTAAATTTCTTTTGAAGGAATCAGTAGTGGGATGCATTTCATCAATTCTCTTCATATCCAGTGATCCAACTTTCATAATCCGCGGCCAGTGGCCCCTTTCCCAGGACTCCCAACGTGTTTTTAATGGGTTTCCATCCGTTAATAAATTTGCCAGCAAACCCAACAAACAAAAGTAAAAGAATAGATGCATTTTGTGATACATTAATCCGATAGTAAATATTTCCCACCATGCATTCCTTACACACCAGTGACTGCTTTCATGACCTCAGTCTCTCAAAAATATTATAAAGCAGAAGATGACATTCCTTTGCAAGTGACAGCGATAGACATTTTTTCTCCATTTTAATTATGTTAAAACGCATGTGACATGTTTCAATTGTACTTTTTCAGTACGTATGCATCAAGTGCGTCATTTTTGGCACAATCTACAACCCATCCACCTCCTTCATATTCTAAACTGCAGACTGATATTGGCAACACTGGAGCGTTCACTCCAAGTCATTCCGTGGGAGTTAGCGAAGGATTTTCAGAAGAGACAAGATCGTTTTCACTTCATTCTGATAAATTTAATAAATCAGGTGAAGCCAGTGTTTTCTCTGACATTGTTCCAACAAAGGCAGGGAAATTTTTTCAGTCTGCAAATACGGATTCGTCGGATTCGGGAGATGAAACTGGTTCTCCTTCGATACAAATGGTCCCATTCGGACGATATAAAGATGAATCCCTTAGCATTGTTTTTGAAAAAAGTGCGCAAAAACCCATGGGGAGCACTGGTGATTCTGCAATTGAAGAAGACGCATTTAGTAGTCCAATAGCGAATAAAAAAGGACATGTGCGAAACATATCAGATGTTGGCAAACTGCCTCAATATAAAGATATTTATAAAGATTTTACTTCAACTCCTGGAAGTAAATTGCGAAAAAGATCAAGCTCACAGAAATTACAAATGCCAGAAGACAGTGACACAGGTTCGGAACTCAACGCAGTCATTTGTCGCGATGAAACAGACAAAAAGAAGGCAGAAGATGAAAAAATAAAGCCCAAAGTAGCTGTTTCTGTTTATTTGTACATTCAGGTAAGTTCTGTATTAACAAGGTTGTAAATCATACAACCTAAAGGTGATCTCCTTATTAGACTAAAAGTGAATGAAGTCTGTCATGAATCTAATTTACTTTCATAGCAATAACAATAGAACCAACTGTAGTGGCAACATGTTAAGTGCTAATGAGCCCATAGCAGTGCTCAATACAAAATTCTGTTATATTTCCTCTTTAGCTTTATTGTGTTATGTTCTTGGTGCACATACCTGTTTTAGGGCTATACATATTTTTTGGAGTTTGACACTCTTTTCGCTAGGTCAGAAGTTACAAGTTCAGATTTCAAAGAGTGGGTCAGAATCAAAATGTACTACAATAACTCAAATGACATTAAATCAACTCAAAATAAATTACAACATGAACTAGGAAATATAGACTTCACCTATGTTTTTGAAGTCAAAATATGGTCATCATGCTGTTGGAAACAGAAGTCAGATTCAAAGAAGACAAATTTTTTCTTTGTCCTAAAGTTGGGTGAAGAAGTCTGAGTCAAAATTTTTGTCAAGACAAAATCGTTTCCAATGACCTGGGAGGGGATATACCTTTTCTTTGACTCATCTTATACCTTATATTTTGTCGTTTTGTAGATGCAGTTATGTCAGAAAGATTCACTTCGTAAATGGTTAGCAGACAATCATACAAGAGATGATGGATATTGTTTGTGGATATTTCATCAAGTATTAAATGCTGTTCAATATGTACATGACTGCAATCTTATCCACAGAGATTTGAAGGTGATTTAATTACTGATATCGACTTTTCTGACATGATTCGAAGTATTTGGATATAAGTAGCTTGTAAATCTATAGACATATTTGTGTGAACAAGATTAGGTCCAGAGCTTCAACTAGTAGCCACATTCTTGCTCTTTTTATGATGTTCACTATTGATCAATGCAAGCACCAATTTTTCATTAAACTTTTTATTTTCAGCCTTCCAATGTATTTTTCTCATTCGACGGAGGTATAAAAGTTGGTGATTTTGGGTTGGTCACTGAAAGTGATGAATTAAGTGGTGATATGTTAAACGAAAGTACGATACATAATGATAATGATTATTTATCTGATGGATCTCATACTGAAAGAGTTGGCACAAGATTGTATATGGCCCCTGAACAGGTGAGAAATGGCTTGGTTATCTATAAGTACAAATCAAACATATTTGAAATTACATCGTCTTAAAATCAAGTAAACATATTCTTTCAAAAGTGAGCAAATAGTTATAAGATCAGTGTATACTTTTAACTATATATTCAAAATTGATACATGATACAGAAAAATACCTACTTGTTGCAATTTTTTTTTTTTTTGTAAATTGAGAATTATTAGTAATTTTGGTGCTATTTCTGCATTTTTCGAAAAAATAGTCAATATAATTATATAGATTTTTATTTAATGCATTACTATTATTGAAAACATTGCATCTGGTTTTTATTTAGATTAGGTTTTTCAGATTGTTATGTTACGTAATATAAAAATCATTCTTTTTTAGATGAGCGGTCCAAAGTACAGTCAAAAAGTTGATATATTTGCACTTGGTCTCATATTAATTGAATTATTCACACCATTTTCCACACAAATGGAGAGAATTCGTGAACTCACCAAAGCTCGAGATGGAAAGATTGATAAAAAATTTGCAAGAGAATATCATCATGAGGTTCGTTAGAGATTATCAATCATTGTCACTGTATAAGACTTTTGTACCATACTGTGTCATATTATTTTACTGTCCACACTTTCACTATTTTTATTCAAGGCAATTCATAACATGATTATCCATTTCAATACTTATAAAAACTGCATTGCATTTAGTGCTGTCAAATAAATAACTAATAAACATGGCCTATTGTTTGAAGTGTTTGACTGATGGCATGTTGGCGTCACCAAAAAATTTCGGGTTTAAATCAAGCCTCCCACCACCTCACTCAAGGTGCAATAAAATGGGAAGGCAATGCTTAACCACAAAGATTCCAGTCCCTTTGAAAATAGTAGAACTTGCAATGCTGGTGGATACTTGCAAAGAGGTTTGTTTTGAGCAAAAATGTGAAAACTTTCTGAAAAACATGAAAAATTATGTATACTTGCATTAAAAATAAAATATCTCATCTTTACCGATCTATTTTAGGCGACTTTGGCAAGACAAATGTTATGTCAAAACCCATCACAAAGGCCAACTGCAGTTGAGGCAATTCAACATGATGTTTTCAATGACAAAGACTTATCACAATATCAAGTCAAACGAACAAGAACCTCGTCCAACTGATCCCTGGAATAACCATGCTATTTATTACAATTTATTTGTAACAATCATATTCATCTACAATCTACATCTACCTTATAAATGGTTAACATTAAAATGATAGGATTTGTCGGACTTCTAATTGACCTTTATCGGTACTCCTAGTACTGTTCTGAAAATATTTTTTTAGTATTGTGTTACAGGTAACTATCTATTCAACTGGAACAAACTGTAGCTTGTATTTTTGCTTATTTTTTGTGTAATTAACATCGGGCAACGCGTTTTCTGCAAAATAATAAGTCTTACATCAATTTAATTGTGCTTTATTCATCCACTGTACCTAACTGACAATCACATCCACCGGTTGTGTTTATCCTAACAAATATTTTATTGCCTGAGCCCTAATTTTTCTTCCTTAAACATTGTGCCTTTGATTGATGCTTGAGTGAGTGTTTATTTGAACATAATTAGAATATGTCATATACTATACTGCATTTGTATTCGTTTTTCTTTGAACAACTACTTATTACTTTTTGTACAACATGAAAGTACTACCAGGTGCATTTACACCGCTTCATTTTTTTCTATTGTTCTAGATTAGAACACGCTACTGGAAAGGTGAACTGTAAATTATCAGTTCCCATAGTTCATTTAAACTGAGAACCAGGCGAGAGTGTGATATTCTAAATGATTAATCCATCTTATCGACTTTTTCCTGAGATAAATATGGAAATCACATTGTCTATTCACTTTGAAAATTAAGCGGTATATTATTGAATAGTTCATATTGAAGTTTCCTAATGTTAGTATCGATTTTCACATTTTTTTTTAATTTGAATTCATATGCTGATCCTTATATTTCGAAAACAAGGTTAAAAAATTAGAACTCTGTAAACTTGCTTCTGGAATTGGTATCAATTTATTTGTGACAAGGTGTTGTCTGAATCAGTGGTTCTCAACCTTTTATACTTTGCGGAGCGGTAAAATTTCAAAACCAATTCTGCGGACCGGTTAACCTTCCAAAATCAACCCAGAGCTCAGGACGTATCCAGCCGTTAAGGGCTTGAAATGGGCGTAGGACGCCCAACCAAGTTTGGTTTACGCAATAATACGAGTTGAAACTCACAAAATAAATTGGCAGGCGATCAATACTTTGTATTTTCCAATTGAGATATTAAAGTCTTCTATAAGCACAATTTTTATTTACTTTGCTTTGTGACTAAATAAGTCCATAGTCTTTATACTTGGCTGCTATTTGGTGTTTGAAAATATCTTTCGTTTATTATTTGTATGCTGTATACAAAAAATTAAACTGTGCACTTCGTAATAGTGTGATTTAGTTGTGTTTTTCTCCAGTAATGGCAAAAAGTAGATTTAAAGATGGTATAAGCGATTTGCCTTTCTGCCCATATTACCACGGCTTGTTGCCAGATTTGCGAACCTGGGTCGATTAATCAGTTCAGTACAAAGCAACACTTGTCAACCATGTGGGGGAGATATCCAGGCTTGTCCATGGGACATATTTTTCCGTCCCATTCCCATCCCATTGGATCCTGATTCCCATGGACAAGCCTGTAGATATCCCCGGTAGAGAGGAGAAAGTCTATCATTTTAGGAGTGGATTATATGCCGTCCGTACATTTTCGCTCTCCAGGCCAATATCTGAAAATCTATGACTCGGCTGTCTGCTTAGACCGTGGTTTTCGCCAGTACAGTCCATGAGTTCCACAGGGTTGCATTCAAATCCGCGTATATTGTTTAGATAAAACGAAATGCAAATTAGGTTTGCCACAGTAATTAAACTTGCTACACTACAAAGATCATTTTGTTTCGTCAGTTTTAGGATCGCATATATACAGTATATATATATATGAGTATTTTATAAATCAGATGATGTTTTAGTTGGACTATGAATATTTTGTTGAGGTTCCATTTCAACAAAACGTTGATTGCTTAAAGTAAATGCAAGTCTTTCAAATTATCAGAGCATCATTATTTTTTTACTCTTCCCAACTTTGGGATCGCGCTGATGCCCTCATTTTTTCGCCCGTTAGCGAGCATCGGTTTTGAACAATAGAGAAAGTCTGAGCTTATGTGCATGAGGAGACGCATTATTTTTTATTCAACACTGTGTATTGTGCTGTGTCCCTCGATGATAATAACTGTGTTTTCGACGCTGTGATGTTCACTTTTACCACTTAATGGTTCTTTCAAGTGGAAATATATATGTAGTAAGTGGTATACAGGCAATTTAACAACCTCTTGTTAGCTAGTTAACTGAAAACTTGCACTTTCCGCTTTTATTCGTGACGAGCTCAGTGCATTAGCTGTTCAATTTTTTTATGGAAATGACCTTACATGCCTTAGCACAGAAAGTTACCAGGCCACAAAAATGGCCTAATTTATTGGGATCATCAATCGGAGTTAGGTAACTTAATTTGTAAAGAAAACTCCCCGAGGCCTTTCTCTTTAAATTACCTCATTTATGTCGTCAGATTGGTTCTGAACATATCGTGTCTCTTAAATATTTGGTTGGAATATTATGAACTATTTAATTTGTGATAATGGCAGCTTCTTTCCCTAATCAATTACGATTAGGAGTTACAATAATCTTGCAAGATTAGGCGTTACAATAATTTCAATACTTTTCATAAGTTGTGATCCTAGTGACCCGTTATGGAGACTGGATCTAGCAATTAGCTTAGCAAAAAGCAGAGAAAACAGTGATCTAAATAGTCGTTAGTTAGTAATATGAACTTTCAGATAGTTAGTACAGCTGAGAAAAAATTCGAATGAAATACTGAGTTCTCACTCTAACTGCTGTAATTTGACAAGAAAACAAGGGTTGCAACAGTTAACAGGTGGTCAATCTTATACACAAGTCACACATTGAGCCTCCCTCCGTCTGCGTTGGTTGATTAGTGCATCCCTATGAAGTAACAAATGTAAGTTTCAGAATATCGAAGCGATTCGAATTAACATCAATTCGCATCGATTCGAATTAATTTAGGAGACGCAGCGGCGTTGTCTCATCATCGACCAAAAGCGTTTATTTTCCCTACGTTGACAGCGTGCCAACGCCTAACACTCTGGGGGTTATTATATTTCATGTGGGTCACATCTTTAGAGGAACCAATGGTTTCGTTAAAAAAAAATTACTATTTAAAATGGTAAAAAGTTTTACAAATATGTCATTATAAGAATGTAGCTTTAAATTATCTATGTAATGTCACTATAACAATAAAACTATTCCTTAATAAATGCGATGTTTCCCTCGTTACCATTTTCTTCCTCCTAAATCACAGCGTAAGTGGTAATAACGCATATTTCACTGGCACTTATCATTTGAATGAATTTTGAAGGTTACTTTTAGAAGAAAGGATCACTATACATCCAATATTGTTTGCGAACATAGCTTTATGTGATAAGTAAATATAACTGAGTGTGACTCTATGTAACAAAAAAAATGTTCTCTAATATATTATGTAGTTGAGGCATCAATTCAATGTTTCCTTCTACTACCTTCACTCATTTTTCAAGTTCAATATTGTTATTTAATCACAATTTATGCTATAGTTCTTTCAAATTTAAAGAAAGTTAACGATAATGGGGTGTTATGCTTAATAGAATCAGTTTCGGAAATATTCGAATCGAAACATTGCGATTCGGAATTCGATTCGAAAATAAAATATTCGAAACTTACATCCTTAGACAACCAATAACCCAATAAAAATAGTCACGGTTTCGTATTTGTAGATAACTAAATATATCCAAGCCGATTAGGATGTTTTGCCTGCCAAATGGATAACAAAATATTTACACCCCGAAGGCAGAACCACTGTTCCAATAATTTATTATTCATAACTTTTACCGTTTTTCTTTTGTTGTCTGCAGCGGTTTGCTATCTGCGTTATCGTCATTGTTATTGTTGCCTATTTATTTATTGAATTTTGAATGCGCTTTTTCTATTGATAAATAATACGCTGCTTGTTTATACACGCCGATTTTAATTGCCGCCTGTCGTCAGATCTACGCTCCCGGACACGCATATGTTACTGCGCGTCCGAGATAAGGCTTGTTATGTAGATAATATTTAGGATGATATGATATAGTCAGACATTTTGAAACTGATAAGTTATGATATCTGTTACGCTGTGGCCTCAGTCGACATTAGAATGTTTGTTTTTCTTTTATATTGTTCTTGCTTCCCATACTAGATAATTATTCGATCTGTTCAGTGTAAGCTACTGGGAGTGGGTTATTTTTAGTAGAGTGTATGCCCAATATCTGGGAACGACGCAAGTTCTCAAAGATGGTAGTTAGTTCACTGAACAAAGGTATATGCGATACCGGGAAAGATGTTTAGGTCGAAGAAAGACTTTTCGTAGTGCAGGAGTAGCTTCACCAAGCTAATTTACACCATGAATTTTATATGTCGCGGCAAATTGAACTATCCCGGTACCTTATGCTATTTCATAGGGTTAAGCGACTGTTTGTGACAATAAATAACGACGGGGAACAATTTCAACTTGACGCTCTGAAGCCCGAGAGAAAGATAAAAGTAATATCTCAATTTTGATATGTAGGACAGTTTAATTTTACGCTACGTGAGAAAGAAAATTGGTACCCACCATAAGTATGGGTCGGCAAATACGACCAGTATTTGAAATCGCCCGAGTCGATGATGGTTTGTCTCACATCATCAGAGTTTAGTGATAATTTTTAATAAATTTTGTTTGCGACTGTTTGATTTGAATTTTATTGGTATTTATTGCAGCTATACTGAGAAAATGGTCGTTATTAAATCTTAGAATGAATCTCAATAAAGCGTGAGAATATTTTTGGGACTGTTTTACAAATACTGTATAACATTTTGCCAAAGAGTAGCAATAGCACCATGTATACAGATTTAAAACATTTTTATCACGGATTATTGAAAAATCACAAATTGGCGGAATTAGCACTTAAAAAACATGACATTGGCGGGTTTTTGTTTTGGAAGATTTGCAAAAATCAAGGTATGATTGGTATTCTATATTTAGCATACAAATATTCCATGCTATTATATAATTATAATAAGATTTTCTGTTGTTTTATGATATTGACATCTAGATTTTGTTTGAAATATACCATTGTGGAACAGATTATTTTGTGTATAATATATATTATGGTAATGAATACTCCGAGCGTCTGTTAATTGACTCTTTGGTGGTCGATTCGCAATCCATACGTTGGAACTTAAAGCTTGAATGAAATAACTTGTTCGTCAATATATACGGTCTTAGACCGATACACACTTATATATGCCTTGTACGATTCTAATGAAAACAGACCCCGAACTTACGGCTGAAAATATTCGAATTCATACCAAAAGCCTGGAATTCTTTTCCCGTGGCATTCGAACGTATCTTATAACAAAGATCGGATCTTTCAAAATCTTCATTAATTCATGACTAACAACATACCGAGCGTCTGGGCCTCAAAAATGCATTACGTAACATTTTGAGCGATTCATTTTGGACTAACTGAAACATTTTTCACCGCAGCTGATTACATCATGAGTTTGAAAGAGAATGATGATTGTTTCATCCACTACATTGTTCCAGCGTCTTCACATCGGGAACTTGAAATTGCTGTGCAGTATTATAAAAACCATCCATTGGACTGTCATCCACTTAAAATGAAGTTAAAGAAAGGGGTGCATAAGGTGACTATTTATTTATATTTTACAAAACCTTTCGTGCGAAGATATCAGTTTTTCTGGACGCTTTACATTTAATAATGTAAAATTATAACCACTTACGGCCGTTATGGTGCTGAACAACTAGATAAATCTTATTGCCTTTATAATATTTCAATTTCGTTTACAGGATGTTAAAGATTTATCACGGCTTGAAAGTTCCGAAAAAGAAGATGATTTCCAACAATCGACATCTCTCTGGTAAGTTGTGTGCTTTTCTCAAATCTTTTATTTTAGGCAAACATTGTTATGCTTGCTATTTGGCAATTATCATGTTTCGATGTATTTCGTTTTATTGAATCTTATGAATTGTAACAGATTTCAAAATAAATCCTAATGAAACTATGATATGCCCTAACATGGGAAAATATATCATACCTTAAATTTCGGACGCTCCGGAAGTATGTGCAACAAGATAGCGCACAACCTGAACCCTGACCTGGTACACATACTGTGTTCAGATTGTGCGCCATCTTAGTGCACATACTTCAAGAACACCAATTTTGTGGCCCGACTCAAATTATTTGGTATTAACAAATATTAACTCTCGGGAATTCCAATATCAGCACAAATACATTTTCTGTACATTACATCATAGCAATTTAAAACGTCAGATGCCTAATTTTACAATCGATTAAAATCATATAATTGGAAGTTCATCAATTATATCTATCAAAGCACACTAGCGTGTGGATATCAGTTGATTATATAGACAAAGCAGTAAAATTTGAATCACATGCAAAATACGATTAAATTTACGTATATTTTTTATGAGTACTATTTAGTTAATTTAAAAATTAATAACTGTAATTCACAAAGAATCCATTCTGACGTATGTTCCAATTATGAAAGTAGGGAGAATGTTATATTCGATAATTTAGCCTAGGGGTGGGGTAATTCACTGTTGAATGCACAACTATCAAATGCCAAAACGTTCGAGTTATTCACAGCGCGAAGGAGGTATTTTTAAACCCATTAATTATGTTTTGGAGTAATCTCATGAATCTATCCACACCACCTATATAGCTCACGTTTCAGTTTAGACTGAAATTTCTTGACGATAGGGGTAAACAGTTTTTTAATTCCAACCTTTATGTGATAAATGATAATTATCACATGCGCAGCAATTAAAATAGGATCATATTTTTAAAACTTTCACTTGGTTTTCAATGTTTCATTAATCTCATATATATTTGCTCAATCGTGTAAGACGTCACCAAGTCGAAAATAATTTTTCAATTTTGATTCAAAGTCATTTGTCATGTCAAGTTTGTTTACTAAAATTAAGTCTTGTAACAAAACGAAATTACTTACTCGAGCTTGGGCTGATCATAAAGTCACATTGATTACACATGTCAATGGAGAGTGGGTGATAAACAGATAAATAAGATTGATTCATTCGAGGACCATATTTACCCCAGTATGAAAATAATAGTGTCGAATAGTGCCTATTACATTGAACATTGCTTTATCCTTCTGGGTACAAAACTTTATGTCGTTGTGGAGTTATGACGCATGAGTTTCCAAAAATAACAAGTCTGTGTCTGTTATTCATCCGAGCACGTCGAGTTCACCCTTTTGGACAAAATCGAATATTATTTTTCACATACCGTAACGCCGACACACCTTTGTCCGATCCTACGGGTGCGAATAATTTTGTACTAAACATTACAATTCTCACGCTAAATTTATTTCAGGTGCGTAACGGCAGCGGAACCAAAGGATAAAACCTTCACATTCGAAACCCTGGCGTTAGACGACAACGTTGGTGAAGCGCCGACGGCATGTCACGTTATCAGAAATGCTGGATTTGATGATGTGTTTTCGGAAGACTCGGATTCAAAATCAAATGAAAGTTCGATATTACATTTCAACAATAATACAGATATGAAGCTGCCTCGCGGTGATTCGCGATGTCAAATATTTTTAGCAAACACCTTTATGAAATCGAAAGTAAACTTGTCGTTCATAAGAAAAGTACTTCAGAATTGGAAGAAACAGTCTACAAGTTGTTCTACTGACTCTGGGATTGATGGATACTACGCGTTTCCAATTGATGACGACATTTTTGATGTTTCTTCTGGTGAAGTGGCATCAAACGACGTTTTTGTTTTCGACCGTCCACCTCGGAATGATGCCAATCAGACGAAGCGCACTAATGTGCTGAATGCAACAAATTCAATTCCACATACGAAAACAGAACAAGACGCTCCGTGTCGTGAATCAGTCGCGGATAGAAGCACTTACTCAGTACATATTCGCTCAAAACCGGGCAAACGAGCAAAAGTGGATTGTCGCGAAATCTGCAACGACCAATTTCTTGTATCGCTTCATTTGAAAATTCAGAGAAATGTGAGACGAACAAATCCGCCACTGCTAATTGCAACATGAGATACAACAACAAAACACAAAATTCTCCGACTCGTAATTCTCAATCACCAAAACGAAAAAGCTATTACGTAGCCGCAGACGAAATTTCCCCGGATTTAGACATACTCGACTTCGCAAAGTCATCTTCGACAGACCCATCACATAATTCTGACGGTAGTTCCACACCTTCGAATGGTTCTAGTTTGTTTCAATCGTCACCTTGTTTGCCAAACTCACGCGTATATGACGCTTGGGCTGAAGTTGGTGCTGACGGCGGAGTAGTTCAAATACCCGGATCTGGTACTAGCTTGCACTTCCTTCCAAATTTGAAACTCAACGACACAGAAAAGCATTTATTAAAGCAAAAAAGCATGTCAACTTTGGACTTGCATAGGACTATTAAAAATAGTGCAGGAAATAGCAAGCCCGAAGACAACATTGACGGTAGAGTTTTCATCGGGCTGGAAGACCCACCTGACTATTTGAATAACGATACTAGAATAATCGTAGGACCTATGGTGCGCGTAGACTATGGGAATTATGGAATTATGTCTTCTGGAGCGGTGTTGCAAATCGACGTTAACGCTACTGTGAAATCTTCAGTCGAGGTAAGCCACTTAGTTTGTTTTGTTTCATATTATTTTTGTTTGCTCTGGACTAGTGGTAGTATTTGCCTACTTTTATATATACATCTAAACTATAATTGTAATAGAAAATGCCCTTTTTTCACCCAAGCCTTTTTGTTTAAATTTCTGACGTGCTTACGCTCATGTTATGATTCATTCTTGTACGACCAAGCGTGGTATATTCACTTGGTGTGCTTTTTGCTTTTAAATCATCTATGCGTGGTAAACCATAGAACCTCGGATTGGTGTAATTTATATATTTTAGAGCTTTTTAGGAGTGACTTTAAGGCAAACACACTTACTCGCCTAAAATTACGCGTAATGGAAACGGTCAATTTTTGAAGTGATTCGTTCAATTTAGTCTTTGTTGTGAAATATATACGATATCTGACGCAATGTCTGTAGTTCGACCAAATTACCCTTGATTTAAATAGGATAATATCCCCATAGAAGTTGTAAATTTCGTCGTCTCAATTAGGGCTATTATTTAAATTGCCTAAGTACGTGTAATTCTTAATTGTCAAATCATGACCTTGTACTAAAATAGGTCGTAACGGAAATAATATGATACAATTTTAACTTTTCCGTCAATTGTTCATTTATATTTAAATGTTTAAATATAAGACGTGCTAGTCTAAATGTCAAAGTTGCCATAGTTTTGCAGACTAAATGCAACTCCAAAGAGCATATGACTTTGTCAAGTAGAGAAATAATTTTCTTCTCCAATGGCCTGTGTACGTATTTTTGGGCCATTAGATTCATCTTACAAAAGGTTAAGCTTTGAGGTATACCGAAAGAACGAATTTCCAATTTAAGTCAATTGCTGTAGCCGTATGTATGACGCCATGCGTGCGACTGAAAATTATAGAAGTAGGGAGTATCATAACAAAAATATGAATTGTTGCTGAAAATTTTCCCACAAATTGAAATTATGAAGACATTTTCAGAATATCAACAAGCGCATAACAGCTTTCGTGCAGTCAGATAGATTATCTTACAAAATTTGAAAAAAATTAAAAAATGTTTTTTATTACACTATCCAATTAATTATCATTGTATTATAACAATTTTAATCCAAAACCATTTTTTGTGTTTGCAACTTATTTATAAAGTAGATACAAAGATAATGCAAAGTATATCAAAATCATTGTAAGGTAAAACGATTATGAAATATGACAATATCAAATAGAAAATATTCTCAAAATATGATTCTGAATACGTTAACACTGTTTTTTCAACCTATAAATCTGACAATCGTGTGTTATTGTTGAAACCTATAACAAATTCCTTTTTTTCTTACAGAATGATTCAACAATTTGTGAATTTACTTGTCTTCGATCAAATTTTACTGGTGGGGAGTTTAAAGAAATCAAGGGGTCGTATTATCATTATGGAAACACTTTGCAAGTTTCAATTTCTCCCGACATAACAGATCAAATGACAAGGATTCCAGGTAAGAAAGATATATATATATAATTTTTCTGGAGAAATTTATTTCTAGATTAATTTCTATAAACATATTTCATGCATTTTGATAAAACTCTCAAAGGTAGATTGAAAAATTCATACCCAGGTAACAGTCTATCTAGTAGAAATAGAAAAGTAATAGTGGGGAGGCAAACAGCGTCAATTTCACACAATCTCGTAAAATTATTTATTGGTTACTCAGCATTAGCAATCGAAACTGTCATCCTGCTGTCCCGCTATGATCGTAAAAATCACACAAAGCATCAGACGTAATTTTCTCACGGTATTCTACTTGGTTGGTGCTGTCTTTATTGTCTATTCTAACCGTTTTTCTTCTGCTAGGAAATGGAGGAAGCATGTGTTTGGTCCCGCTTGTTAAGCTGTCTAAAGGTGCGCTGTTGACCGAGCCATCTATCTCTGTGTGGGACAAAATCAGCACCAAAACGTTTTGGGTCGGAATTTATGGGCCAAAACGTCCGCACCAGGCTTCAACATGTTGTGTTTCAATGTCATCAGCAAGTACTTCACCTCCTACGTTATGGATAAAGAAAAGCAGCAAGTAGGAATTCACATTAATAATGTTTCATTTGTCTCCTAATATCGTTAGATTAAGATTTCTAAATTATCGCTCTAGTTATCTGATTTGAATCCATCGATTATTTACAGCTAGATTCTCACCAACTTTGACATTAATAAGTAACTCACGTAATCCTTTGTTTTGTTTTAATTCAGAAATATGTTCATGCATTTATGGTCGTCCTATCAAGTCGCGTTACAGAAGCCCCAAGAAATTCAAATACTTATACAACCAGAACCATCATCATCGGCAATTGTTGCGTCATGTCTTCAGGATGAAGACGATTTGATAGGAGAAAATGAAATTAGGACAAAGTCACGAATAAATCGCTTGTTTACGATAAAGTATCCCAAAGAAGTAAAACGTCCACTACGAGAACGCAATTCGTCAGAAAGTGACTCCAGTTTGAATTATAGTTGCGAAAAACAAAATAATCACAAAGATAAATTAACTCTAAGCATTGTAGGTGTTCATAGTAAAAACATTCTCAACGAAATATGTTTTGTTGTCCCTAAACGTGCGTCTTCATGTTCCACACCTATCAAACGTTGGAAGAGAACTATTTGTTCAGCTCCACCGAAATCGATCCAAGGTGGTCGCGTACAAGATTACATGTACTTGTGGCATGAAGCTCAGCGTGAAGCCAAAACAAAATTACAACCAATTTCTAAGATTCCCGGAGCTGACAGGAGAATCTCAATCACACGAGTGGCAGTTGCAATAACTTCTAGAACGAGAAGTAAAAGGTACTGCTGATTTCTTTTTATTTTGAGCCAAGTCCTGGATATTTTCCTTTAGTTGTACAAGGTAAAACGTTCCTGTCGGCAGTGGTTTCCATTTTCCAATCTTGTACTGTTCGACTCATTTTTTTGAATATGGGCTCGATATGTTATAATTTTTCCTAAATCTATTTATTAATTAATAATAATTATGAGCAAACTAAAGGATTTTATGGCTTAATCGTATGGCAAACCAGCGCCTCTCACCCCTTTACCAATACAAATCGATTATGGCAATACATTCGATTCCGCCAATGCAACGCAATTTGTGTTTTAAAATATCGCGTGACATCATATTGGTATGGCCGACAATTCGGGAGTTCAATGTATCGCTCTTATATTCCAAACGAATGACGTAATCTAACAACAAATCCAATCCTCGTTTACCTTTGGCATAAGTTTGGTAAACCTCTATAAATATTGATCATTATCTATCATTGAATTAAAAAATACACCAAATATTTTATATAACTTCTGGTGGTAGTACAAAAAGAATACCGAATATTAACCGTTTCCATTACTTTCCAGTGTTTCAGGAATCGCGCCACACCTTGCCCAGTATTCACAGTCCGATATTATGCCGATATTGAGCATGAATACACTGTGGGCGCATGGAACGAATCACTATAAGGAGTGGTACGTCGGCGTCTCTCAAGGAAAAGTCGGTAAGATAAAGAACACTGTTGATAAATATGACAGTTTATATGAATTACAGGGAAGCCGGTATTTCATGTTCTATTGTACGGGGACAGTTCGTATCGTTTGAAATTATAGTATAAGGGTGAAATATGGGACGATAATAACAAAAGTCTCATTTTAGAATGAAATTTTTTTTTTTAAATTTCCTCATTTAGTTTGATGTGGTCCGGTGGTGTAAAAGGCATCTCTTGCAAACGATATCAACTATAACTTCTAAATATATTGGGGAATTTAACGATTACAAACCACTGAAAATTTTAAAATATCAGCATATCTACTTGACTCCATACTAAACAATCATATCTGAAAGTCATTGCTACTGGACTTAAATGTACACAATACATATTTCAGGTTTAATCCATACAAAATGTGTTCGAGTGTTCGATACAGATCAATGCTACGACGGAATGGAGGGAAGAATTTCCGTTTCTGAACTAGTTGAAAACATCATCGAACCCGGTAAAATTACTGTCTACTTCTTTCAAGTAAAATCCATTCATTTATATTGCTTTGAATTTTTAAATTAGCTTCAATTGTTTTTAAAGTTGGATCTCTCAAATATGACTATGCATCATTCCGAGAGAAACTTCTGGAGCATGTGGATGACTGGACGATTTTTGGCTCGAACCTACAATTTGGAGAAAACTATATTACCAGAGTATGTCGAGGGATGAAAGATGATTCAAAGCGGGAAACGCGGGATAAACTTTCACTGTTCTTAGAAAGATACAAGGTATGTAGGACTTGAGTGTACTGGTGTTTTTTTCGTACATGTCTGTTGATAAAATCCGCCGTTTGGATGTATTCATATAAATGGCCTTCTTCTTGGTTGCCTTTCACTTGACCACAACCCCGAAAAAAACTAAATTATAAAATGGCTTAGAAGCCAGGCCATTGTTTCGACTATGTTAGTATCATAATTGTATGATCTTGAATTCAAACTCCATGACCTGCACCGTAACCAAGACCATACTGTGTCAAATTGTCCCGTAAATGTTGTTGGCAGGTTCTTCAGAACCTTTTCTAGATGAAGGTTGAGGTGTGATTACTATATCGTTATAACGCCTGTGTGTGTGTTTTACCGCTGATATCCGTGTTCTAATAATATTAATAATTTCTAGGATTATTGTGACACCGGACCACGAAAGAGATTATTTCATAAAGAAATAATCAGGACTCTTTTATATATGGAGCAATATGACCTCGTCACTTCATTGATAGCAGATTTTTGTTTTCTGACTTTATCCACCGAAATCGGTGAACGTTGGGGCGGACTTCTCACTATTCTCGACGGAACGAAATCATTATGCCGCGGTAATGACGTCACAAATGGGAAATGGCGAAGCAAATCTCTTTCTGACAAAAAGAAGTTACAACACAAGAAATCAGGAGCTGTTACCTGCGATAAAGAAATAGACCGTACGAATCAGGTAAAAGTTGTTCATCCGGCGTTACTAGACACGCGTCGGACCTATTAATTGTTTTACTGAACATTATTTGTTGTTCATGGAACTGAAACTGCTTTTCTCTTGAACTACTGGGCCAATCTCTTTTCAGTATATAGTATTTTCACTTATATTTAAAATGGCAGTATCTCTTGTAAGCTTGGTATTTTGATTCAAAATTTTGCTAACGTTATTTCTAACGGGCTGTTCAGATCTATATTTCTATAATGATTAAAATTCAATATTGCCTGATATCAGTCCTTTTCAAAGTCCAAAGTAATCCTAAAACTCACGTATTGTAAAGCATTGTCGGGTAACGAAAACAGATACATTTTAACGTTTATTTTCTATTGATTTTTAGAATATCTGCAAGCAGGCAATAAAGTATCTTTCAATATGGAGACATCAATTCAATAACAATCATATAAAAGAATTAATAAACTTACATCACGCTGTCGACGAGCTTGAGGAATCACCGAACAGAACTTCAAGATTTTTAACCTCAGCAATAATTCTTATATTTTCCATCGAATCGTTAAGAAAACGGATATTATAAAATAAATCATGAATTATTTTGCAATGTTTTTGGGAGACCAGAGAATACTTACAGTGTACTTTTATAAGGTTTCAAAACATATTTTTTAAATTCCGCAACTATGACTTGTAAAAACGCGATGACGCCAATATCGTGGTGGGTGTCATTCATAAAACTAATTTCGCAGAAAACACTAAAAAAAGCGAATGGTTTGAAAAATTTGAATGAATCGCCAGAAGCATGTGTAGTTCGAGTATGCTGCTACAAAATATGAATACTCTTTTAGGTTTTACTATGTTGGGAAAATTGCCGGACTTCTCGTCGTACCCATGTGTACGTCGTTAAATTACGGCTTCCTATACCCTTCAATACGCATCTTGAGGAACTGAATTTTGGTTACTAATGAAAAAAGGCGAAGGAAAAGAGTTGTAGCTCAGACAGTCAGACTCCGGATATTTTACCACCACAACAACTAATTTCCACAACGCTTTACTGTTGAGCCTGCTACAGTAATATTCATTTAAAAAACCAAGAACGAAATTGAAGCACAAGTCCGAATGTAGAGAACCGATGTTGGTCCAGAATCCACTCCCCCGTAGAGCTTAGCACTTCGAATCTTCCTTCCCCACGCTTTGAATTGCGAGTATCTTGTATTTCTGTATCAACAGTCATTGGCATTGCTTTTTGTGATTTTTATGATCATCGATAACAGCAAACGATAGTTGTTCATTCCCTTTTATGATGAATATTCTGATCATGCATTGAAACAGTCCGCATCATCAGCAGATTTTATACGTTTTTGTGCTGATCACGCAACCCCTTTTATAGCCGAATATTTCAACAGCAGAATTGAACCAGAAGTTGAAGAAAATTTTTGTTATGACCCTGTTGAACTGATGCTATTTGATATAATGTCCAATACTGCACGCAAGTCGGAAAATCGTATTAACGACGGCATAGGAATAAGAATTCCCAATGAAATTTCTAATTGCTCGACGAAAGTATACGATTCCCTTTCACCTCAATAAATAAAAGTGCACGTTCAATTCCAAGCAAAAAATGAGAGCTAGTTTTTGCGTACAAAAAACGGGCGAGCATAAAAATCTTTTCTTATACCGGTACCTTTTTTGAATATAACGCTATTTTCGCTTCCAATATGAACTAATAGTGTTCAGAAATTTCGGGCCAGAGATGTCAATGTCATCAAGCCGCAGAGGCGACAGGCGATGGCTCTGTGACGACACAAATCTCCACAATTTGATGAAAAAGCAAATACCGTACTTCGCCATTCAACATTCCCAAACAGCAAGATAAAATCAATACCATTATTTATTGCAGCAAAACGAAATGAAACTTGCCTTTATAAAGAAGTATCTGCATATATGTAAATTAATATCACAAAAAATACAGTAAATTGTAGGAATATTGCAACCTAAAAAAATTACTACAACTACAAAAAACAGCTATTGAAGAACGTGGTGATCTTCAGCATGGCTCACATAGATAGAAAAACAAATGAAGTGGTATTGGTCAACAATATACATTGTAATAGGAAACTTTGTGACATGCCCCATCAGCAGGGATGTTAGGCTGGCAGCTGAGTCTACTTTATTTCAAATCCAAGAGCAATATTTTCAATCATGTGCCACTGAATTAATTCAAAAAAGAAGAAAACCGAATTTGGATTTGACAAGACTGAAGCCAATATTTTTTATTCGACACATCTATCGCATTTCACTATGAACAAGGCTCTATACAAGCAGCATCTGCCGGGTAAGGAGTAGGGCTGGGCATTTTCCAATACCTGATGATTTCAGAATCAAATCAAATATTTTTTCGAATCGAATCTCGAATACTTGGCAAATATATAATTGTATGTTACTTTTTTATTGTAATTGGTCCTGTCAACAAATGAATTACTGAAAAACATAGAATCAATCACTCAGACAGATTGCAGAGCGTTCACACACAATAACTCACTACAGAAAATAGTCAAAATGCATTGAAAAAATACGGTTCGAATAACAAAAAATTGAGGATTGGATGAAAGGAAAAAAAACAAGATGGTGGCGATTCGATTTAACTATTCATTTCGAAATGCCAAGTCCTAGTAAGGAGCCACTATAGTTTAAGAATACTGGAATCTTTTCAGTTCGATATTGCCTAATCAATTATTGACACCGTGGGTGATGAGCATGGGATGTTGAACCCAAGATTCTAACCAGAGACTGAGATGCCATCATCAGTTTAGCCTAACACTTAAACCACTGAGCAAATTCTATATATTTATGACATCATTGGCTTTTCAGAAAACAATCTCATGAAATAAATATTGGATGTAATTCTTCAAGTCATTGATTGGCATAAAATTGTATATCTCATCGTATTTCATCACTTTTCTATCAGTCTGTGAAGGAAAATATTTTGTAGAAAATAATCCAACTACCGGTACTTAGCAGTAACTATACTGCAATAAGTAAAATCAGTCATGTAGTTTATATAGTGCTGATGGGACACATTACCAAGGCAGGTGTTCAGTTACGCATCATTCATTAGCAATAATTTCACTGGAGAGAAGTAAGAATTCAGCAAACAAGGAAAAGGTGTTACAAAATGTTCAAAAGTAATAATATAACTGAATAACTACTCCCAATTTATAATAAAAATTAGAGTTTAGATCATATGACAATGGTTATAAAGTTGGCTGCTTGATCCAAATATAATAAACATATATACAGCTTTTCAAATTACAAAAACATTGCAAACAATAATATAATAAATGATTAGTATTCGAAGAATGTGAGTGCATTGCAACTCATAAACTCTGTAAAATAGCAAACCCATAATCTCAAATAATAAATAAATAGTACGTTACTTGGTGAATTATGTACAAAAGACATCATATTTTAACAGAAAATATGACTTGAAATATGAAAATATGATTCAACCAATTTAAACAAAAAAAATCAAGTTGGAATTAGTAGAACAGCACTACTGAAAAAACGCATAAAGAAAACAAATGGCTTGTTTTCAAACCTCACTAAATGCAAAGAAATAAATAAATATGCAAAGATCTAAAAATCTTGCTTGGATAAAAAAAGACTAATTCTAGCAAATAGCAAAATTGAAATTGCTTAAGAATTCGTAATGTATTGACCGTCCATTACCAATGCTTATCCTGCTGTGTTAATCCAAAACCAGTTTTTGACTGCCAAAATGCACTATTTTTAATGAAAAAAGTTATACAAACCTCCATAGTTCTGCAACATCAAATTACACATTTTTTTAAGTTAATTTACACCTTTTTTTATAATTATTGTTTGGTATTAAAACATCATCGCCTTTTCTTGGCATCAGATTTATTCATTTTTTCTGCCTTCTTGTTGAGAACGTTATTTAGTGAAAAGAATATACCAGTGTTTCGTTTTTTCTTAACGTTACTTGGCTTAACAGCAGCACGTAGATCTACTTTTGGGTCAAGTTGAAATGATCTCGACGATCTGACACTTGTACTTGAAAAAGATTGCGTTGAGACAAGAACTTTTGAATCTCTATTTCTTTTTTCCGGGGAAGAAAATGAGGCGGAAGATGGTTTCAAAATAGGCTTGGGTTCGTTGCATGCCATTGTTGTCGACAATGGATAGGAACGTCTATCATTTGGATTGCTTTTGCCAGGTGGAAGCCACTCGTATTTAACAAGCGGTGATGACATATCTGACCCTGAAATTGACCTCATGTACTTCTTATTTTTCTTCGGTTTAGGGGGTGTGGCAACTTGAACACTATCAACAAAAGCTGCGTTGAGTGAATCCACACTACTACTCATATTTCCACTTTCTTCTGAGCTACTTGCAGTACGTCGAAAATCATGTGACATCTTATTTTGCTTTCTACTTGCTTGTGATTTGTTTGGGGTCATTGTTTTGTAGTGTCCGTCATTTGCAGCTGACAATCTGTAATAAGCTACAGGGGATGGGGAAGCACTATGAGGAAGGCCATACCTTGGCACGAACACTTGAGTAGAATTACGGTGAGCTGGAGAAGCAACAGACAAAGTAGATTCCACTTTGCGTCTTCTTGCAACATTGATATTACTGTTAAAAGCATGTTGTTCTACATCAACATGGCTATCTCCAGGTTCACTTCCCTGAATTTAAAATATCATTATAAAAAATGTAATCACTTTTTAAGGAGATTATAAATATGATTATCATATACACCATTAATAGAGATTTATACATATAATAGGTAACGACTAATTTGAAATGAATATGCTTCTACTCGCTATTATTACTGAAGGTTGTACGTAAATGCTGTTCAAAGATTTTAGCATCAATAACATTGAGGCATTTGGAAAATTGAAATTGTCATAATACCATCTTTTGAGGCGAAATGGTAACCTAAAAGGTTGTGGTCTTCTGTATAATTAAATACAGTGGCACAGCCCCAGAGTGGGGGACAGTTCGGAAGTCAAAACACTCCCTTTTTCTGATATTTGTCAAAGACTGAAAAATTCGCTAATTTAATTTCTGTACATCATCGAATACCGGTAACTGTAATAATACTATACTATTATTTTTTTGAAACCAGTAGAAATTCCAGCATATCGGATTTCTTTCCTAATGCTCAGTGCAGTATCGAAAAAATTCAAATACCATTCTATATATGAAGTTACAGAGGATCAGGCAAATCAGGTAATATGAAAATTTGACAATATTTTGTTATATTGATTTGAAAAATTCGAATAAAAGAAAAAATTACAATCCACTTGCCTACATCCATCAGTCGAAGTTAGAAGATGTTCGAGATAAAAGATTCTTAACAGAACAAAAGCAAGAACATAAATCATGCAAAAATTAATAACACAAATACAATATTAAAATCAAAATACAACAGGAACAAAAATTTGAAAATGACAAAGATTCTTACAAAAGTAACATTGAATGAAAAGGAGTTCATTATTCATTACATATATCCAGGGAATTTAGATTCGACAAAATTTAAGTTTTATAATATTCTAAAAAATGCAAAAGTTTTAGGAATTCGAATAATCAAAATGGCTGCTTGTTCTAGCATTTATTTATTATTGTGGTGAAATAAATTTGCTTTATTAAGATTAGAGTAGTGTAGTGTTTAAGTCATTGTGTACCTCTTGTGCATTGTAATATAATATTTTACTTTCTTATTTTATGTCTGTTATCTTACTATAATGCAGCAGTCCTACTACTTGTATAGGGTATACATGTCACATAATTGTGTCTTAGGCCAGTAAGGTCTTGTACATTGATCTCGTCTTTGATATGCTATTAAATTTTTGTGTCTAATAAATAATAATAGTAAACATAATATACAAGTATTTCAGAAAGCCCAGGTTTATTCAATATTATTTTATAAAAGACCGCGTAAATACATGAACAAAGTACTATGCTTCCGCATGGAAACCATTTGCGTATGAACTCTTGCGCATCAAACAATGGACAAATGCGTCTTGATTATGATTATACTATGCAACTATCTTCTATTTTTTAACTAGCGAATGAATGATGTCACTGTATTGTGTGATTGCCTGTTGCCCTTCTGAGTCATATAGAAACAAATGTACTTCCCTACTAAATAAGGTAATTAAAAATATATCAATCATTGAGACAAGTATTGTTTGCCTTGATATAACACCACAAAGCTAAAATATTTATTCATCTATGAGTAATTTACGATCAGGTAATCAATATTGATATCACAATACATCATGGCCTACATGACATCTACAGCTTTTGCTGAAATATTTAACGAAGATTACCCTTATAATAATGACCTAAACACGTGGTATTCCTTTCATGATCTTATACTGATTGAATAAAATTATCCAAAATCCGATTGTATTTATGTATCCATGGTCTATTGGAAATGAAGTATGCAGCGTTCACAAGAACCTAATTTTAAAATCCAATCTGAAACAGGGATGTTAAAAACAAATTAAATCCTCGAATTGACTTAATATATATCGTATTTGTTATTTACTTTTTAGGAACAATCGAGAATAGTATTATTTGAAAATTTTGAGCAATTGAAGTATCAAGTAATCACTTCATTTTTTTCTTAACTTATCTTCTGTTCCTAATGGAAACAATTATATGTGTTATTTGTGGAATAAGACCCAATTTAAAATGTACGTTTCTCAATATTCCGAAATCAAAGTATATTATTTTAAAATGTATTCAAAAAAGTGGGTTATCAATTTTGGTCATCTTTGTACGATACTTCGGTCAATATATTATGCAACAGAACTTGATTCATAGTGAAAATGTCATTTCGCCAGTGTTCAAAAATAAAAACTATTCTCCAGGACAGGGTTTCTCTAACTTTGAGTGTTATTGAGCCTGTGAAGGGTTGATTATTATTTATGAATCCCCACAATGAATTTATAAAATTATCTATTGGAACTTATAGATGATGTCATATTTGAACTACCGCCTTGTTGCCACATTCCAATGCTAACATTGTCAATTTTTTTTATTAATGCAGGTATTGCTTCTTTGGACAGTTACATAATTAGCCAAGTCTAGGTATATTATTAATAAGTATACGAATAGCTCGCAGAGCCCCTAGGTTTCTCTCACGAAGCCCTGGGGCTCTGTATGGAGCACTTTAAGTACCTATGCTTCAAGTCTAGGACAAATACAAATGTTGATAATCAGAAAATATTGTGCTGAAAAGCAACATCACGATTGTACAACACTGTACTTCCAAGTCAACATATTATTCTATTTCTCTTTATAAGACAATTTTGATGACAGAATGATTCTGGAATATGAAACTGTGAATAAGGTACGAGTATGTTGTTAGAGGGAAATTAAATCTGCTATTTCAGAAATTCCCACATCAACATAGAATATTTTGACATGTTATGAACTTTTTTTAATCTGGAAAAGCACCGCCCGTGGCAGCCATGTTTCAAATTTAAAACAAAAATACTACACTACAATTGCAACCATGATGATTCCATATCCGGTCATTCAATATCTAATCAATATTATGACATCACATCATAGAGCAAGTATTACATACAATAACATGACATTATCCCGGATAACGTGACTATGTAACGCTACATATGTTATCGGTTACAATAGGATGATACTATCGAATACAATTAAAAAAAATATTGTCTATCAGCAACCTTATAAAATGCATGCATGACCTCACATTTTGATGGTTAGCTTAATTATCGGAATGAATAACACTAAATTGTATAGAAAGTGAAAAACCTAATAATGAATGTACGTCATTCCCTACTGTATAATTTTCCCACAGATTACTATTACCAACATATTCATCGATTTAACAAAAAAATTTTGTTGAGCTAATTATAAATATTCAGCTAAATAAAACAAATTTTAGCTATTATCCAAAACTAAGAAAAATGATCAGAAAAGACAAGTGAAATTATTTAATTTTCGAAGTGATTTTTAGCATTTAATCACATTTGAATAATATGTTCATACTCATTTACTCCGAACAAGACATACAGCCAAATAATAAACACATACGATACAACCCAATAATAAGCACATAAGCCAAATACTAAACACATACAACCCAATAAAAATCACATAAGCCAAATAATAAACACATACAGTCACCATTACAAAAAGAACAAACATAGATACAATTCACCGATTATCGAACAAAATTAGACTGGGATTTTCTAATATGCGATGTTACCCGAGTACAACAGTTACATAGTAGCACTGAACGCTTCATTTTGGGAGTGTTTATTTTCATGTATTCTTTCCTTTAGTAGAACTCAAAATTATATATTGTTATTTCCAATGTGAATAAGCAATAAATACCATATGTTGTGTTATCTCTTTATTAACAACATAAACAACCCAGCCTGTCAAAAATTTGAAATCTATAAGCACATGATGACTAGATGATTGTCATGTATGAAACCCTCGATTCAAAATGTATTTTTGGTATTGCCTACTTTGTTACATATCGGGCATCATGGAATCAATATTTAGTGTGATTGGCAGCATCATTACTGTAATATTATAATGTAAACATTCTGGCAAGACAGGATAATTCGCAACAAATCATGAAAAAATCCAATACTTCCTATTTGTAACCTGTTCAGTGAAACGTTAAGCCAAACAATATGAATAGTGTGGTAATGATATGACATATGATTTTTCAATATTTGAATTTGTGAATGTATTTTCTACCAAGTTGATATTGAGTTGCCATGAAGTTTTCAGTTATTTTTAACAGTAGGCCATAAATCACCAGCGTCATGAAACCATTATTCAAATTTGACAAGGTTAATAATTGGACATGTTCAATCTGAGCAATTCCACTCATTTAAATTTTTTTTTTATACGATTACAGCAATGTTCAAGCAAAAAATAAAAACCATTTTAAATCAGAATAGAATGGATTTTAGATGGCGAATTGAGAATCACAATGTTTAGATTCAAAATATAAATTTGATCACTGACCGAGTAACAAAAACTAAACTTACATGCAAATAAAATGACACATAAAATATCAATAACGTCATGACAACAGCGAATGAACGATACATTAGGTCACTAAAATAATGTAATCAGTAAACCATACTTGATTAAGCATAAATTTACATACCTTTGTCCGATGCTTCAAAGATTTTGTTGTATGAACAATATCGTTGAAAGCTTTAACCCATGATTCCATTTCTTGTTGATTATCAGCCTGAAATATTTTGATATAGATTCTAGAAATTATTTCCGCCTCCATTGGCTGTGCATGATTGAGTGAATACTTCAGATGGATGACCAAAATGAATGGAATAACCATGAACTTTGAATTAATATCTAACATATATGAATCGATAGATATATTCGGATATGACATGGAACATTTGATTAGTGTTTGTCCGTAACTATCAGTCATTATAATGTGATACTTTTGGGCATGCTCATTTTTGGGTAATCCTGTAGTATGTGTACCAGGTTAGGGTTAGGCCATAATTTTATTCCGATTTTTCCTATTTTAGTTCTATTACGACTTATGAGTTCGGAGACTGTCTGTGTTAGCAAAGTGAATATTCCCCCTGCACATAGGTCCCTTTACACAACTTTATGTAAAGTAGGTGAACAAAATTAATTATCCTTATATTGGTACACACACTTCTGGAGTGCCCATTTTTGTGTCGATTAATTGATATTGTTGTGTCCTTTCATTGTTTAGAATAAACTTTTGTAATATAGAAATCTGTCATTCAATATGAGCTTAATTGAGCGATTATTTGATTATTCCTTCGCAACTCTACCCAAAATATTACTTTTTAGTAATAGTGATAATTTTTGGTTTAACAAACCTGTATGTAGTAAATTCTTTCTGTAGTCACAACCATGAATAAATTATCCTTATTAAATGAAGAAGGAATGTTTGAGTCTACTTTGGCAGCGAGAATATCAGACAGTGGAATCGTACGAATTGGATCCCTGTCCTAAAAATTGAAAATATAAATTATTAAATTCAAACTTCCACACAAATTTGATGCATTGGGCAGAATAACTACTTTCTTTTCAAAAGCAGCATATGGTAATAATTATACCTAAAGCTATTGATATGTAATTTAAAAAGAGGGTGGTGTGTATGATTGTACCCAGAAGTTTCAGTAATCAATCTAGAAATCTTTGCAGAAAAGTTATGTTCTTTCTAGAATATATTCCATATGACCTGGATTCTGTTTTTCGGGGTCACCCCGCATTACAGGGAAATATTGATAAATAGGGTGAAAGCTAATGGTTTTATTATTGTACAAGGTTTTTTGAGTTAGGATATAATACTAATTATCATTGAGAATTTCCTTCATTCTATTGATCTATTATAGATAGAATTAGTTAGTACAAAGTAGTACATTAGTTAGTACTAGTAGTAGTATAAATTCACATAATTTATATCAAATGCATTGAATAGAAATGACTTTCTCATTTTTCATTGTAACCATGTCGAAAAGATCAAGTGTTTGACTAACTGATAACCAATTATTTGTATAAGCAGTTACTGGTATACCAAGTTGGCGAAATAATAGATAGTCTGTTTTATTCCATCAAAATCATAGAGTTAGAGCAGGTGTGAGCAAATTACGACACACGGGGCAGATCTGGCCCACAGAAGTGTTACATCCGGCCTACTTGTGTCTGTTGAAATCACGACTATAGTTAAATAGATATAAATATTTGTTGGAAATATATATGAAAATAACATCATAACGACCCCGATTGTTAAATTGTCATTCTTAATAATATTTAAACGTTGGTAGCTGTTGTAAATAAACAGTTTTTTATGCATAGTTTTTCACATTGAGTTTTGAGTATTTGGCCCAGTAACCAAGTCTATTATCAGTAACTGACCCACTCAGAAAAATAATTGTCCACCCCTGAGTTAAAGTGTATGGATCACCCCTACATTTTCAAATAGCAGAACATGCTAAAGATAATTCTAATGATATGAGGCAGATTCATCACAATTATAGAAAACTACCATTGGCTTTAAAACATTTTACGTTTCTTTTAGATAAATTTATTTCCTGATAATTCTTAAAATTTCTGATTGATTTATTACACAGTGAAAACCATGATATATCACAAAATTTACCTTTTTAAAAAAAGAAATAAAATATGATTCCACATTACATGGTTTAATGATTGATTACACGAATAAAATAAAACAATGAAAATTTTGAGTATTCTGTAGTGTTTGCCTGAACAATATCAATCAGACTTCCTTCCTCGAGAAGTTTGCAATTCAATATTTGCACAACGAAGCACAAGTATTGTCAAATTCAATAACAATACATAAATAATCGATGTTATATTAGATAATTGATATAGGATAGTTATATGGAAGTTTTGTTATAGTTTTGTTATATGGAAAAAAGTAACCATATCTAAAACAGGCATACCAGTAAATAACATAAAATTTCACTTACATGGTCTGTTTTGTGATATGTAAATCCTTTTGTTGTTAATATGAAAAATCTTCTTTTCCAGTTCTTCCTCTGTAGAAAAAAAAACATGTTACATTAAATATTTATATTATAATGAGAATTATTAAATAGAAACAAAAGCATCCTTTAATAAGAAATGAATGTTATATTTCAATACAGAGTTATCCCAATAAATCAGAACCCAAAACGAAAAAGAAGAAATTTTATTATTAGATACTTGAACTTCTGTTTGTGTATGATTGTACCCAAAAGTTGTAGTAATCCAGGATGCTTAGAGCCAAAGTTATGTTCCCTCTACATTAAAAATATGTTCCAAATGACCTAGGAAATGTATTTTTGACCACCTTGTATAACGGGAAGTACTAACTAAATTAAAATTCAGAATGCAAAATATAGGAAGGAGGCAATATATAATTTAAGCAGTGGATTAGTAAATGGTACTTTAGCAGCTTATCCTTGAATGCAAACAGCAGATGCATGTAGAATATAGTTATAAAATAATGCGCTGGGAAGGTGTTGAAAAGGATTAGAAAGCATTAGAGGGGTTATTATTAGTAAAGGTTTGCTCTAAGTATACCGTCCACAGATATGTAGAACTTAATTAAGCTACTACTAAAGAGTCATCAATTTTACATTTAATATTGAATAATGGAAACGAAATTCCAGCTAATTAATAATTACCACATGGCCTTGTTTCACAGCCCATCCTTCTTTTATAACCACTGATGCCGATCTAATAGATTTCAAGTCAGCTTCATTTGAACCAGTCGATGCCAGGCTGTGAGATCTTGAGCTATTAGTCTGCAATACAGAAAACACAGCGGATCAAAATTTTTATATACTATGTACTATAATAGTTGAAACACTGGAATGATGGATAATACACATAAGTCTCTAAAACCCCAAGTCATTGGCCCGAGTCTCAAGGGAAGTCAGAGTCATAGCGGATTTTTAAACTAACTGCAAAATGGATAAATATAGGCGAAAAATACGAAAGACTTTCATCTCGTGTTCAACCATTGTTATTCTAAAAGTTTGATAATGCATTGGCAATATTTACGTCTGTATCAACAAGGTCTATTTTGTGAATTTTCAATTTTAGAGGTCAGCCGAGTTTGAGTCTTTTCGCTGGAATGACTCTTGTCACGTCGAGACTTTGAAAATGTGACCGAGTCTCCCAACACTGAAAATACATGCTACTGAGTACTGACACAGTGGCTGTCTGCCACATGCAAGCACAGAAATAAAACTCATTTTGGTGATGATTGATGACTTACGGGCAAATACAAATAACCTGGCCTGATATCAAGATTTCTGCCGAAAACCTGGGTTTTAACAAAATGAGGCCTGAGGGGCATATGACAAACTACCTATATTTCATTACACATTTTTTGTACTCCTTGTATCGCACGAATGCTAGAATAAAAAGAGTATTTTAGCAAAAAAGTAGAACTGAATCTTATTCCACATTATGGAAGTTTACCAATCTTTCACTAGAGAGTGGTCTAGTTTCGTCAGGTATAATCCCTACAGGTAGCCTACCTGACAGAAAGTCAAATGAAATCTTATTAAAATATAATTGTGTAAAATGATAGTAAAAATACTTTATAAAGAAATGGCTTAACATTATTACAATTACACAGGGCAGGATGTAAAAAATATTTCAGATAATATCATCAATTACAATTCCGGCATCCTATTTAGCCAATAATTAAACAAAACCTATTTGATATTAATGGCGTAAATGAGTCAAACAGAAACTAGGTGCAGCAGATTAATGAACAGCCTACTTCAATGTCTGATTCATAATGACAGCATCCTGTATGCTACATTATTATTAAGGTCATCATAATGAAATTACTTAGCCTAAGCAACAAGATAATGAGAAATGCTATAAATGTACAACATCTTCTAAAATAATACAACCTTCCATACTTGAACGGCAATGATATAGTATAAAATATATCCATGTCGGAGATTGGGATTTTTATGTAGTGCACAATGGACGATTTTTTGTATATTAGTAGACTGTAGTATGATATTATATCATGAATTAAAGCAGCATCCATTTAAACATATTCTCAATAGTTCTTGTACAAGCAAATAGCAATAATAGGGTCAGTAAATTAATATGGTATACCAAAACATGGTTTTTGCAAACAATCGATAATATACACATTAAAAATATCTGGGTTAATGACAAATGGCATGGGACTTGAAGATTACAAGTTCTTACAGCAGTTAGGAAGTCAATAAGCTCAGGAAAATAGCCATTCTGACCAGAGACACCTGAGCTTTCAACGAGAAGTTAATATCCTAACATATGACTCTGAATGGGGAAATGACACTCAAACACTCATGCATTTAGATTGTATCGAATTGCCTGAATTGCATTATTATGTTTCTGAATGGAAATGAAATTGCAACTGACATACTAATTTCTATTGTTCTTTATGAATGATGAAAAGATTGACTCAATTTGAAAAATTTGCAAAAAGCCAATTTTTAAATAGAAACCAAAATTGCAATTCGGACAAAACTAAGTCTAACGGATGTGTGGAAACTACTAACTAGCACTTCTATTTTATATAAAACGTTGAATTTAGAGTCTTTTTATTAATTGAATAAAATATGGACTAGCATTACCAAATTAGGATTTTCAAATGCCCGTCAATCAGCAAAGAGATTTGGCCATTTCAATCTACCGACCTAATAGCCTTGTTCAGAGTTATCAACACAAAATATCAATGGTTCAAAGTGTTCAAACCCTAGTTTCTCCTTTTGAACACACAATACATTATCATTTCACGATCATGATATGTGAACCCAACATAAGTTATAAATAAGTGTAGGCCACTTCCTAACGTCATCATTCAACGGCATATCAAGAATATAATATGTGCCATATGTGCTGCGAGTTGTATGAAGAGTACAGTCATAGTGTCTGCATGAGAGATATCACTGTTTGTTGGTATTCATATTCTATAACTCTTGACTTGCATTTATTTTATTTTGAATATTTTAGAATGTTGCACGATATGATATTCGTAAAATCTGCTGTCAATTTTCATTTCACCATATATCGAATTTTACCGAAAAACATGTTGATTATGACTATTTTCATAAAGATTATACAACTGAATAAGGCTTTCCTGATACTTCATTTCGAATTCCATTCAAGATGAATTCTTCAAACAACTGGCCTAGCGATTGAATTGAAGTGTTAGACATGCCTATGATGACATCTCAGTTTCAAATCCCAAGCACACCCGTCAGGGTAGGCAATGCCGAACTGAAAATATTCTGGTAGCTCCATACATATTAATGAGTACTTGTGCGGAATGAAAGGCATTTAAATACGTCATATATACAAAATCAAAAGTAAGCTATTTTTTCATGATAATAATAATTTTTATACTATATTAATACCTTAATTGCTGACGAAGTGTTACCATCATCATAAACTATCTTCTGAATCACAACACCAGCAACAATTTCAGTTTTATAACTATATTCTTCGTGAAAATTAACAGAATTATCACCATTTAAACTTTGGTAAGCTTCATCTGTCTCTTCGTCAGAAACCTTGAAAATTACCAAAAAAAAACGCTATAAGTTATAATTCAGAAAGAATAATAAAAGTAATTGATAATAAAATGCTCGTTTTATCTGGCACCAACTGATAAATGAATGTTTCGATTAACACAATAAAATCGTTTATCATACTGTAGTTAACTTACCACAATTTTACTAGCATTGTTCAGAATTTCAACCCATAATTTCATGTTGTCATCATCATTAGCTCGAAAATAATATTTTCTCATTGGCGTATTTACAGCTGAAACAATTATGGAATAAATTTAGAAAAATGATCCCGCGATTTTTAACGAAAAGTAAAACTCTTGCATAACAGAGTTGAGTATAGAAGGGTCAGTCAGTGTTAAGATACCAACCAATTCTTTCACAATATGAACTCAACACCAAAATTTCAGATTTGTGATGTCATCATAGTTCCATACTAACACCAATAAAGACATGTTTATAAAAATTCTACATAATTCAAAGTCGTATCATAGACAAACTATATCTTTTTTAGTTTGGAAAGACTATGAGTTGCATAATTGGAAAATCAAAATACCAAGATAAAAAATAACTTACCAAAACAGTGTTTGGCTTTTGATTTAACTTTGACAGCAGTATCAACTTGTGTGATAAAGTTAATATCAATGCTGCCTTGAGCAGATGCATCTTTTGATAGTTTCTGCAAAGATCAAAAGTATGATAAAAATAAACTCACAAATCATGTAACGGAAAGTGATTGAAAACAATATATTAACGAATCACCCAGAAATAACCAGAGAAGCAATATTCAAAACGTGGAAATGGAAGTTGCAAATGGCTACCATTGGACATTAGCTGAAAAGATATGTTGCACAAAACTAAATTTATGATAAAAAGTTGGGTCCGAAAAACTATTCTTTCAATTCATTAACGATAATTAACTAACAGTCACTAAATATAAACTTATATACTTCAATAGGATTTTAGTTGATGTAGCCTTTAATTTGAAGATGAAAATGTAAAAAAATTCAACAAATTCATACAAAATAGTACAGGCCACCATTATCGACAAAATTCAACTGCGCAATAAACTAAGTTAATAGGAAGCGCAATCTAAAATCGTCACCATTGAAAAAAATTGTCCAACTTTGCGAAATGGGAAAAAATATTACTGCACTTGTTCCAGCGACAAATAGCTGAATAGAGTGTTTGTTTTATTGAACCCAATGGCGAACATCTTGGAATCGAAAAACTGTGCCCTACAGATATATCAGCTTTATACTTTTTGCATCGCAGCATGGAGATAGAAGGATAAAGTACTGAAGTATGCAGAAATAAAATTACATCTCAAAGGAATAAAACCTAATAATCGAAATCTTTCTTATATATATATTTTATAGATTATACGACTGTACTAATGATAATTTTATAAAGTTGAGCTCATGGCACCATTATTTGCATTTGGAACATAAAAAAAGTTATGATACAAGGGCACCAGAAAAATAAAATATAACTTTAATAACTTGTAGTCTAGGTAATAAATTAAGTTGTTCTTCTTGTATAAAATTACCAGAGGATCGTCAGCAAACCATTCCAATATTCCTTTCGATTTATCAAGTCTTAAATATTGCTGGATAAATTTCCCACTTTTTTCTTTCTCTTCAAATTCTATAAATCCACAATTTCGGTTTTCCTTGTCAAGCTTGATCATATTGAACCGCAAACAGACCAGTATAATGGCCAAGGTAATAAATAATGGAACGATCACATAATTATACTACAGATTGCGGTATATAAAAGCCTGGAATAAAAAAAATGCAGAAATGAAATAAGGGTCGTCGTACGATGGTATGCATATTTCTATTTTACAAATGTGTATAATAATCAGACTGGATTCCGATGACCTTATGGTCGTATCGCTCCCCCCAGTCTATACCGAATTAACTTTGTGTTTATTGTATATATTATTTTGTATACCATTGTTCGTTTACGGTTGATAAAACAATAAATCTCTCTCTCTCTCCGTGACAGGTACACGGCGCGCTAGCGCTCCGCGAAATTGCACGCGAGAGGGTGATTTTGCTCGCCAGAAATTCGCAATTGTTCACCAGTGAAAACCAGCTGGTGTTTGAATCAGTAATACAGTAATATTAAGATACCAACAAATTGTAGCTCCCCACCTCACACTAGCTTCCAAGATTTTACCAGATCGAAAAATGCGTAGCAAAAATTACCATTTTTGGACACGTCAGTGGACATAACGATCGCTTTAATATTATGTTGTTGTCCTTGTTTTTTTTCTCCTTCGTCATGACGAAATCGATTTTCTCCCCGAATACTGGACCAATTGCTTTGAAATTTCCAGTGGTTAAAGATTGATTTTTTTCGCCAGAAGGCTATTAATTTTACTTATTTTAAAAATTTCTGTGGACTTCAAGAGATTCGTTTTTTATGTGTTACAATAAAAAATAGCGACACCTTGTGCCGTATCCATATTTTTGAGCATAGTTCTCTTGTTTCGTGTTCACTTTGAAGACAATCGGGGAATTGACCAGTTCTACTTTTGTACAAATACAGTAGCCTACTCAGAGTGCGTTTTCTGTGGTAGAATTGAAGAATTTCACTCAACTCGAATTCTAAATTAGAAAAATACGTGTACTTAGATTGTGATATAATTATATTCTACTTTTGCACAAATACTCAAAGTGCAGTGGCTCTGGTTGAATTGAATCTCACTCAACTCGAATCCGATTTCATAATATAAGAAAAATACGACTAGTACGAAAAATACATTGGTTATTTACCAATGTATGCAAAAAAGTTTGATCAAATAGTGATGAAAAATTGGCTCTTTATTAATCAAAATGATGTCGACTCAAAACATGACGAGAATTGTTTACACTTGTCGGTATATACTCCATCTACAACTAGATTGTAAAATCTTACAGTAAGTATAGTCGAATGAAAATTGTGTGGAGCTATCAATGCTAAGTTTCCCCCGCCATCTAACGGGATTGCTCTGTGCAAATTCAGGCTAGTTATATACTTGGAGATGTACAAATTGCTCCAAAGATTTTTCAGTTAATTTCATACTCACTAGATGTATTTAGTGCCATCACTCTCCCTAATATCTCAATGTGAATATAGTATTTAAAAAAAAGCATTTTAAATTCACTGAACTAACAAATAATTTAAATCACATGTGTGATATAACCTCATTGTAACTTACTCAGATAGAGCAATATATTTAATGCAAAAAATATCCTCGCTTTTTGTAGTATCAAATTTTGTTGAAATTGCATCTGCTTAAATATGATATTTTTTTAAATTTTTGTGAACAGGTCATGTTTTGGACTTATGGAGGAGCTTTTAGCATGGGTTCTGAACGTTTCTATGATGGTACAGTACTGGCGGGTATGAATAACGTTGTAGTCGTTGTTCCAAACTACAGAGTGGGAATATTTGGATTTCTATCACTAGGTCCATCATCTGCCTTCCCGGGTAATGCTGGATTAATGGAGCAGCAGATAGCGCTTCGGTCTAATTTGCAAACCTTTCTGTCATTTAACAACATTGGACGTATAGAATTCATAGATATTTCCCTCGTTCAGTTGGATTCAGGGAAACATTGAAAATTTAGCCGGTGATAAAAACAACGTGACTATATTTGGTGAAAGTGCGGGAGGGGTTTCTGTGAACATTCACGTACTATCTCCTCTCTCGCATGGTTTGTGCCATAAAGCAATCAGTCACAGTGGACAAGCAACTGCAAAAGGTAATGAAGTACTAATAGAAAAGATGTGTAACTATTAGACACATTTGGGTTGCCGATGCAGAGATGCCGATAACTTATCTAGGATGGTTAATGACACAGTAATTAAAATGGGTAGCCTATATGCAGTACTCACATGCTCGATTGAATGTTAAAGACTTTTGATTGCAGTTCGTAAACTACGTACATCGACAAAGTTAAAATTATGTTACAGTTAAAGTCCTGTCTTATCTCATAATTGAACAAATGGATGCCGATAAAACGCTTCAAGCGTTGCAAAACACTTCGGCCGAAGAACAGATCAATGCAGTTTACTGGGGTTTCTTGTTTTAGCTATCCTATTCTAAAACACACATAAGACTGTCTTTATTAATAATATAAAGTCAAATTCAATATGTCAAAATGAGGACACCGATCAAGAAAAGTCTCTGCAATTCGAGTCGTTTACAAATCTACAAGCATTATTATAAATTATTCCTTAATGCGAGGTCACGATCTCTCAGCAGCCAGCACTAAGAACTACATAACAAATTCATCACTGCGTTTGTCACATTCCTATCAGTACAATGGAAGAATACAATATAAGTAGACTTATCAGAATAAGATCAGCAGTCAATATGATAAATTTAAAGATCAACTTCGAACAGAAAATTTTTATGTGTTTGTATATTATTATAAATATACAACTAGCTAGTTACAAAATTCAATTGCAATCATAACTCAAGCGGTCCCATGCAACGTAATGGTAGAATATGTGGCGGGAAATGTCTGGTCGGAAAAGTCAGTCATTTGTTTGTTTAATAATCTATATAAGAAACGATAAACGTAATATTTTTGCATCACTGAAATTAATTGAACATTCTCAACGATCCATATTAACCGATGATCATGTGACCTCGATAATTTATTGAACACGTAGTGTACCTATGGACCATTTCAATATTATGTTGTTGTTCTTGTTGGACACGTTAGTAGACCTATGGATCGTTTCAATATTATGTTGTTGTTTTTTGACACTTTTTGGACACCTAGTCGAAATCTACAAAGTCGCTTTTCTCTTTGATTACTGGACCAATTGCTTTGAAATTTTTAGTGGTTAAAGATGAAATTTTGCAATTTCCTATTTCAATTCACGCTGTCACAAGATAGGAACTTCTAAAGATAGGGCAGTTCCGGTAACGTAACATAGCGGGGTGACACTGAACTAACTCGAAGCTGTCTGGTAAAAGCGGGGCTTGTTTTTTAAATTTTGTTCCAATAAGGAAAAAGGGAATGAAACGGATTAGGCTACTTAGTATTTCAATTCATGTTGCAATTGAATGGAGAAGAGTAGATCATTGTCACGGGACATGTGAAATGGCAGGCAGACAACTCGACTACACACGAACAACTCACCAGAGACAACTCGACTACAGATAGACCTGGTGAGTAGGGCTGGGAATCCGTTAACCGGGTAAAATTAACCGGTTAACCGCCGCGTGACGTTTGACGTAATAATTTATAATTTCAGCTTGTTACGTCACAATGCTTAAAAAGCAATTTCGCGTGTTTTTATCCCGGTATCGCTTATTAAAATTTATTCACGAATCGAGACAGTTTCATGATTTCTTTGCTTCAAGAGATAGGCAGCGTGGTTCGGGCGTGTTGAAGTATTTTAGGAAACCTGATTCCGTTGTTAAACGTCATTTATGTGACAAATTATCAGTGTTCGATGTGCGAATTTTACTTCGAGATATATATCATAAAGAAAAACGGCATCAACTGCGCACTTGTTGTATGACATTGAATATCCGATTTTGCGATGAAATCGTGAACAATATATTTCGAAATCGACCAAAAACTGATTCTGAATTCATCATTGTCAAATTTCCATAATCAGAAATCTTTGTACTTCCATTATTTTCACATTTATTGAGTCCTTACCCACACAATTAGTAATATTCTTTTGAATTAAATGACACAAGAGATAAATTTGCGATGGCGTAATCATATTTGAAGAAATTGTACGGTATGAAGATGATTTGTACCTGAGATGTCAGTTAACGGTTAAAATAAATCGTAACCGTTAACCATCTGAAATCGGTTAACCGGTTAACCATTCCCAGCCCTACTGGTGAGTTGTCCGTGTAGTCGAATTGTCCACCAGCCCTAAACAGCTATGACAGTCACTGTACCAAAATTTGTAACCCGATTCAGGTGGTGTTAAGTTGACGCATGTTATTTAATAACGTTTTTATGTGAAATGTTTGACTGTGGTTCGGTACCTGATCCGGTAATACGGTACATAGTTGACTAATATCACGAGATATTTCAATAGATGTTTCAATATATTCAAGAAGAATGGATCATTGTCACATGGCCTAAAATATCTATGACAGTCCCTGTACGCTGTACCGTCACGGTACTCCGATACAGGTACTGGTAAGTCACCGCATATGATTTTTGAGGAATTGTTCTGCGTGTCCATATATTTGGGCATTTCTCTCTTGTTTTAGTTAGGACTGTAAAATATTTTTAGCCTGATATTAGTAAACTGGTGGCACAAAAGAGATACCAAACGTCACGACATATGTAACGAAAAAACATTGAGTTTATTCTGTAGTATTTTTGTAAATTTTAGGTCTATATATTTAGATAAAGTCATTTTTAGTGTATGTATTATTCATTCCTTTTCAAAACTTTGTACATAAAAATGATTGTACATAAAAATGTATGATTTTTTGTAATAAATACAGTAAATTGCAATAATAGTGAAATGCAAAAATTTACATATAAATGGGATTTGAAATTTAGGAAAATAATAAAACTTCATTCGACTGTTTAATTGCATCACATCACAATATATGTCTCAAACTACACTCATCTAAAAATATGCTTCAAGTATACATTATATCAAAAACTGTTTGCGGCCCTTTGCACAATTCCCAAATGGCAATGAAACCCACGAGTTTGACACCCCTGCTCTAGAGTATTTTCAATGGATAATTAAATTCAATAAGACTAACTAAAGTTTTTGTAAAAGTTTGGTTCGCTGTAGTCCGTTTCGAAATCTTTGTCAAATTTGAATTATGGTCTAAATTTACTGGACTCCACAGCCTGCTCGGAAACTTATTAGTGCTGTTCCATAATTGCATGGCATCTTCAGCATGATTCGTGCTAGTGCTAATCATTCATAAGTTTGGCTGACAGGAGATTGAAGTAGATGATACAGTTTATTGCTTCAACTAGAATTTTGGTTGAAACTCTCCTTAACAGACTGGATAAACTTAAATACCTCAAGCTTTTTATTTTGACAGTTGATAAAAAAAAAAATTGAAAATAGGATTGTTGCTAATTTTTGTCTGGTCTAGTACCTCTGGAACCAGGTCCAGATGCCCTCTATTTAAACAATTTGTAAAACAACATTCTTGCATGTTAAAGCACCCTTATAAATAAATTCGGGACAAATCTTGCACTATCTTGGCACTTTCTTTGTGTATATTGCAATATCCTTGACATTGGTATCAAAGTTTTGAGACTCTTCTAAGTTTTGTCAATCTCTGCAAAGTCTATCTATCTATACTTCTAAGTCTATCTATACATTCTGTTTAGCACATTCCTGCGCTATTTTTTCCTCTACTAGTAGGAACATGAATGCTTGAGTTGGATATTTCAGCCTTCCCTTTGGGAACTGCAGTAATGGGATTGTTGATTGGGAGGGCCTTTCTGCACAGAGGGAATTCAGAGCTTTTGCTAATTCTGCAAATTTAATATAACTCTTTTCGGGGTATATCCTGCAATGTATTCAATTTGTTCAATGTATTTTGCCAATTTGTTTGCAAAATAAATTCACCGAAACAACAAACGTTACATTGTCATCCAGTGGCTTGAGAATGTGGTTGGTTATTTCCAACGTGGCTTTCGAAGTTTGTCGGAATGTGCAGCGAACAACTTTGGTGAGAGGTGTGAACATTGAGAGAATTTGAGCATGACTTGCTCAGCTCCTTTCTCTCTGGCGAAGACTTGCAAAGTCATGAACTAGAGATAGTCTGGTATGTAAACAATGAATTTTGGAGATTTGTGCAAGCTGACAATCTAAATGTATTCATGCTTTTGACTTCTAAGTAATCAACAGTCATTTTTCTCTTACTAATTATGTGGCCGATTTCAGACGGATAACGATTATAGCATCTATTTTGATTCCTGATCGGAGAGGCCAATATAAACTCAAAACATATTTAATATTTTTTATGCAAACTACGACCGAATCACGACCCTGAACTGATAGATCGGCTAAATACAAACCTGCTACATCCTACCACTAAAGTTTAGTGACTAAACGGTTCGCGCTTTGAAAGGCATCGCATTTCCTACTTCCTTACCTCTTTACTCATGGGGAACGACTTGTGAACCCGATAGTGAATTCTCTTATATCATTCCTCGTGATAAAATGAAGTAGACACGGACTGTGAAGTTGAACATTACAATTTGAGCAACAAGGTGGGTTGGACATTTGGTCAGGTCATGAACTTCACAAATACTGTAGCCTACGTATGAGTCACTGTCAATCTGATGGTCACCGTGTCAAAACCATATAAATGCTATTAAACGTACTTTCAATTAACAGGGGCACCTGTGATTAGAGTATGATTCAGACTTTAATATGGCTATGTAGCCTACCTCTTAACGCACTACTTTGCAACAATCCAGCAATGCATGACCCCATCAATGTAATGGCACGACTTGTACATCTTCATGAAGGGAATATATTTGATCATGAACATTTTTATTTTCCAAAGGTATCATAGGAATCAGTGTTCAAGACTTTATGTCAGCTAAACATTTTACAACTACCAATTATATACATATATATATGAATAAAATGCTATCAATATATATTTCACGCAACTTATCAAATATTGCATGACGTCCATATGAGTATCTTTTTTCGGCGATCACATAATATATATATAGAGTATCAATAATAGGTATAAAAGCAAAACGTCACACAATTATATTCCTTACATCTATCGAATGTGAAGCATCTGAAGAATGTCTGAATAACGAAGAATGTCTGATAAGTCAACTTCCAGAAATCTCCTAAGATGGTACTAACTATAATGACATATGAAAGAAAATATTAACTACAATATCTGTATAAAAGAATAGAGCTCAACATTGTTGAATGCATCGAATGTTATATACTAAATCAGGCACTAAACCATTAACAATCACTTCTATTTTTGGTAGAATTTCCTATATATACACTTATTCTTCATCCACGTTGTTGGGAAATACGTGTTTGAGACTTTATGTAAACAAAAACTTATAGCCTATACATAAACACAAATGAATTGATATCGCCGAAGAAGAGAATAAAAGACTAATCAAAAAAGAAACAATTCCCTATAGGGTGAAACCTGAGCAGGCAAATTTTACTGACTCATGTCTAAAACTTTGTTTATTTTTCGTCGCATTAACGACATTTTCGAAAATATATTAATTGACGTGTGGAATGTTCTTAGAGATTACATATAAGATAAAAGACGTAAATAAATCGACAATATAATCCAGTTATACAGAGAGAGAGATTTATAATCCACACATATGTGTAGAATATCTAAATACAATAAGGAAAAGAATGACCGACAAATTAAGTTTACAATAGAAATGCTAAGAATTTGTTGAAATCCGGAAAGACAACAGATAATACATTATCGAATATATATACATTGAGTGCATCGAATGCTATGTGGGTGAAGTAGAGAAAGCTACAACTACAATACTTTATCTTTAATGTTTTGAAATAAGTAATATATATCTCTCTATATACTCACATATTTAAAACATAACTAGCAAGACAGAAATGTTGGAGGATAGGCTATCCTAAAAGTCTGGGGTAAGTTGACAATCCCACATGTATCGATTGATAAAAGTTACAGACGAAACGAGTTGGTGGGTAATAGTTCTCAAATATTTCTTCAACAATGTCTTATTTAGGACGAACCTCGTTTTCACACTTTGGGCACTGTCCCTTCCATTGTTCTTGCTCTTTGCCCAGCTTTGAAATTTCTGTTGGTGTTTTGCATTTTAGACATATGTGTTTTTCCAGGACAGATACTTGGTACGCTTCTGCCCCGTGATTAGGATTAAATCCGACGTAAAACTCTACTCTTTGTTTTTGTTTACTGTCCGAACCGCTGAAGCCATAACGCTGAGGATTAAAGAACAAAGTGATTTCCGGCCTGTGACCCCCGTCTAAAACAATATGACCATACCATATTTTGCAGGTTGAGATTCTTCCTTTACATACTTTCAGGCGGGCGGCTTTTTCCTTCTTCCAAAATTTCCCATCCCACTCACCCAGTAAATTACGATGAATAATATTTCGTATTGATTGCGTACTTTCGTGATTAGCAAGCCACTCGGCTGTTCTATCCATTAATGGAAGAGGGATAGAGCAGTCCTTCATCTTTTCCTTGAGTCGACACGATATTTCACTGTAAGCATTAGCGACTTCCCCACGAAGACCATTTATGGCGAGCAACGTCGTTAAAACGTAGTTGTAGAATGTTGCTAAAGATCCCCGTTCTTTTTTAGAATTCCAATTCTCCACTCTGGAATTAACCTGAGCAAGAGCGTAATCGGATTCATTGAATAACGGATGACGTATGGCTTGCAACCATTCAATCATGTAGTTTGATATTAGGTGATGCTCCATGTCTCTCTGCTGCGCGTCAGTGAATATTCCTTCATAAAGCTGAATGAGTTGCTTCAAATACTGTAATTTATCCACATCTTCATAAATTTGAAATCTGGACGAAACTCCCTTTTTCTCTGTCAAATGCATCTTCAATATTGCAACGTGACATTTCTTTGAATGTACGGTCTTGTCATTGCCTACCCATCGTCTCAATGCCATTTCGGCATTCTTGAAAAATGTATTAAAATTGTTTATACAAAAATCCAACTCGTCTTGCGGAATATTATGCTCTTCGGCATGATACATGCATTGTACCAACAGCTGATCACAGTGGCTAAAGGACTCCAAGGTAAAATTCGCAAGCAAACAAAACGGCTCTTCTTCACGCTGCAAATTTGCAATATTGCCACTCGAGAGCGCGTGAGCAAATTCGGCCAACAGTAAACGAACTTTAATCTCGCCAATGTAGACGTAAGTTGGATTGCATCCCTTCTGGTAATGATTTTTACTCGCTTGAAAATGTTTAACTGCTTTCTCTGCTTTTTCTAAAACAGTTTTGACCGACTGCTTGGTAAATTTGTGCTCCGAAATTTCGTTTTTCACCTGTACATTCAAATAAAATCCGTACATGCTATGAATACGATGTAGGACTGGGTCACCGCTATTGGTATGTCCATCTGACTTGTTCTTCTTTTCCTCATTTCGAACTGTAAAAGCTTTTAGAAAACATTCTTCCGCTTTTTCAAACTGTTTTGTTATGCCGTAAAACCTACCAAGATGAGCATGGAATTCTGCGTTCGCGGGAAAACATTCTACTAGATTCTCCAATATGCATCTCTTGTGATCGTCGGTTGGCGTATCTTTAATGAGTCTTGAATATTTCGACTTGCTTCCAAATTCGTCATTTTCGCCTGCGTCTTTGTAATTCCGCTTTATCAATATTGAGGTCAGAATTTCCTCGATATGAGTAGGGAGATCACTTGACCACGTCGATATTAGATTTTCTTTAACGAATCGAATGAAATTTACAGCGATCTGACAAAGACCGTGACGTGCATCATGCGACAGCGTTCTTTCCTTGGAATCGTATTCAGGGGACTGTCGTTTTACTAGGACTTGTTCTAAGATCTCTTTTGCAACAATGTAATAGGTAATCCTCCATTCCCCGTCACTATTTTCAATTACCAATTTTTTCGCTTGGTGGGGTAGGTCATCTAGAGTAACCGCTTGCTCGTTTGATTTACACAAGAGGTTTGCAAATATTTTGCATGGTAAGCCACAATGACCATAATAATGAGCAAGAGACAGATAAGTGAGAATTCGATGCCAGTTTTCTAATGCAGTTGTAGGATGTATTTGAAGGTTTCCGTGGACATAGCTTTTAACGCCTCGATATTCCGAATCATACGCTGTCAGACCGTATTCGAACATGCAGTGGCTTTTGTTTTCTCCGACGTCATCAGTCAACTTTTTTAGTAAAACTCTGGCATCTGGCTTTACAGTTGAGAATATATTATGCAAGAATTGTGCTTCTGTTTTGGACACGTGTTCCGGAAGAAAAATTATGTTTTTTTTCTTTTTGGTATAATTTTTGAAAGACGAATAAAAGCGTTGAACGTGTATAATAACCACCTTCTCGTAGCGACAATATTCAAGCAGGGTTTTTACATCCTGTAAGCTGTTACCATCAACTAGAAGTACTGCAGGCAGATGGGTTTCGATACGAATGAAAGTAAGTCGGTTTTTCACCTCATCAATTGATATTTCTAAAGAAAAGAGTTCCAAGCATGGTGCTTCTTTTCTTAACTCCCACAGAACTCGCCTAGCAAAAGTTGTACCGCCACCTCCCGGAGGATGAAAAATTGTTATTATGCCCGATTTGCCAGTTTCAATGTATTGCTTCTTTACCAACTTAACGGTATCTTGTAAAATATCCCTTTCAGCATCATATTTTCCTGTCCCTATAATTTCCCATCTTAATTTGCCACCTTTGAGAAAATCCTCCCCTTCCAAATCCACATTATTTGTCTCCGAACCAGCTTCGTTCGATGCAAGAACATCAAAACAAACACTGAGCCATTTAAAGTTTTTGTCTGTTAAACGAAAACTGCTTTTTTCGCCTTTGATCTGCGAGAACTGAGGCAATGTTTTACTTTCAAATGTGGGCGTATCATCATTGTCGCTGTTTTTGATCCATTGACAAATATAATTCAGAGGCATCACGAGCAAATTTGTTTCCAACTTTAGTCGTTTAACCATGTGACCAAACCCAGAATGCTTATGCGGCTTCGATCGTACACATATTATGCAAGGAAAACTGTTGAGATGACTTTTAAAGTGATGCTTCATGCATCCCAGAAAATTGTCAAGAGAGTCGTCGAAATTATTATTGGATGGATACCAAAGTACGATAATTTTTGGAATTTTCCTCATTACGCAGTATTTTACCAGCGAGTCACAATGTTCAAAAACAAGTTTATCTGAAATATCAGTGCCGGATCTAAACTCAACATCGTCACTATCGCAATAACCATTTATAAAAACCCAGTCCGTCGTCTTATCAACAGGAGGCACTACTTTATCTTTGGTGTCAGTTGTTGTGTAATATCTCCTATTCCTCAAGTAATCTTCAACATTTGACAGAAGGCCAAAGACTCGTGATTTTGGATCAAAGTCGAACACTCTTATCCAGGGAATTTTCACCAAACACTGCAGATCTGGGTCATTTTCTCTAACCGGACCTATCACCAATATGTAAGCGTGCTTTGGGTCGTATTGGCAATCGGGGAACCCAACACTGGCTAGTTCCTTTGCACACGCTTCAAAAAGAGAAGCGTCGATTGTTTCCACTGGATTAATTTCATTTTCGTCCTCCGGAATATGAAGATTAGGCTTACCTATTTGTTGGTGTGAAACAGGAGTGTCATCATTGCCAGTGAATGCTAAAAAATAATATATAATAGGCTATATAGTTATCCAAAAAGTTACAAGGAAGTTATAGAATTAAATATTACGCCAGAAACAATAAAAAAAAAGCATAAAACTAGATATCTTCAAACAAGATTTACAAGAATGCTTTGCGACAACAAGATGTAGGTAAAAAATTTACATAATGTATATATAGATTTACTGACTCTGACATGTTGATAAATCTTTTGCCAAGTTTTCTTCGAGAAAATTGAATATAATCCGGCAAAATTCTTCAGCACTCATTCCCTTTTCAACGATTCTCAAAGGAAGATCAGCTATCTCGGGATGGACTGCGGTTAACCTGCGGGCTATGAAAAGATTCCTTTGTTGTTCACACTGCTGCTTCAGTAATTCCATAAAACATTCCAAATTGTTGCTTTGAAAAGGACCCGTCAGTATGAAAATTCTGAAAAAAATTTAATATAAATTTTGAAAATGTTTCTTTATGGCATCACAAAATCTCTTATAGAGGACTTTTACTGATCACGACTTTGTTTATGCCGCCATTTTGGACGTCAAAAACGTTCCGACTAGGCGCCCGCTTCTGCCAGCTGCAAGTCCCATTACTCGTTTCCGTTTTGCTTGACTGCTGTTAAAAATGATTATTTCGCGTTGTGCCGTTGGCTGTACGTATACAAAACGAAAGGGATCTTCAGTTCTAGTCCACAGGTCAGGGCTGCTCAACTGGCGGACCGCGGTCCGAATCCGGACCTTTCGAGTATTCAATTTGGACCGTTGCTGCTTCTTGACTTTGAATGCATCGTTTCTTTTCATTTCACAATCGTAACGTAATGCATTTTTCGCTAAACCACTCAGGAAAAAATTCTCAGAGCACCGACTCACTCGTTCACTTCCTTAGCATTGGCTAATCAGCAAGCAAAATAGTATACTCTCACTTTCTAGAACCAATATTGAAATTAATGGCAAAAACAAAGAAATGTAATAACCAAATAACTTTGCAATTGGCGACTAATGAATCGTTTTGCTGAAAGTCTTGCGGGCGTTGTGGTTTTTACTTATCGATCTTAAAATCGGTAAGTATGTTGATAGGTATTTGTCTGTTTGTTACTTATCGATCTTAAGATCGGTAAGTATGTTGATAGGTAATTTTACTTATCGATCTTAAGATCGGTAAGTATTTTGATAGGTATTTGTCTGTTTGTTTGTCTGTTAGATACACGCGATATCTCGCGAAAGCGAGGTTGAATCTGCTTCAAATTTTGCATGTGCATTCATCATATCTCGGATCAGGTGCTTATTGCTTTTGGATGAATGTCGTATAATTAGCGAGTTATTAATTAATTAGTGATGAAGAGATCTGGATTTTTACAAAGCGAGAGATTTTCGAGACGCGCTGAATGCGTGTGTGCGTGTCCGATGCGCAAGTTTTTACGCTTGTGAGTCAGAGCGAAGAATACACACCGCTAGATCGTATCTCGCGGTTAATCTGCATTGTCCATATCTCTCTTGTAACTTTGACGTCGTCGCGATGCGCAAGTTTCCTTCGAGAAATTTTCCACGCTATTGAGTCAGAACGGAAGGATACACGCCGCGAGATCGTACCTCGTTACTTATAATTACTCTTTAAAGTTTAAGCAATGTCCATATCCTTCTATCAGGTTCGGGGTTGCAGAATTCCTCACCAAAAAATCGCTAGGCTGTGTTTGAATAGCCGTCGCAACCCGGGTTAGCGCCGTTGTATTTGACACAAAATAAAGGATTGGTAAATAGGCTATTGGCTGGAAACTAATCAAACAATCCAGTTCGGATTTGCGGAATTCTTCATAAAAGTATTTCCTCGAGTAGTATTTCGACGACGACATGGGGAGTTGGCTATTGTTTCCTACATTTTTGATATTGGCTGAAAACTATTCAAAACAATCCAGTTCGGGTTTGCAGAATTTTTCGAATCGAAACCGCAGTTTCTGTTTTGGGATCCCCTAACTTTCGATCGATAAGTCTTCGGTCTCTGACCAATATTCTCGTTCTCAATATTGCTTGAAAAAATTGTTCCTCTCCGCAATTAATATATATATATATATTCCAAATTTTCAGTCCTGAAGATAATTCGAGTCGCTGAAAGACTTTTGAATATATATATTTTTAAGGGAGCTATGGGGGCGAATAGTTCACAGCTTTTCAGAAAAGTCGGCGCTCAGCGGCATTTTTGAAGCCTTGTCGCACCGGCTCCGAAGCGCGATATTGAGCATTGCTCTTGTATTTTGTCAAACGATGCGTTTGAAATATAGTTTGCATACGTAAAATATATTGAGTGGACCGCGGTGATTTTTAAATTTCGTGTACGGACCTTTGGTGAAAATAGTTGAGTAACCCTGCCATAGGGCAGATTACCAAAAGATCCGAACGTTGCGCAAGGTGGATATCATCTATTGGGAGGAAGGGTTGTCGTCCCAGCCATCTCGCTCGTTTCTGCGGACAGGACTTCTTTGGTGGTGAGTGATAATGCGCCGTTATCAATTTCTTTGAATATTCATAAGCTCCGTCATTTTAATGGAAAGTATATGACAAATTACCGTTATTGGTAGGCCTATTCACGAGTAGGGGTTTTATCCTCTGTTTTCTGTATTTAATTTTATTTCGCCATCGCGTTGTTAAACGGAAATGCATATATTTAAATAGATAGGAAGCTCAGACAGTCAGGGAATCAAGCAATGTCATTTTATATTATGAACGTACCTGTACTGACAGTAAAGTTTAAATTACTGATTCTCAAGTCACTGTTTACTACCTCTGGACTGATGTAATTTATGCATTTCATTTTCATCGGCCATAAAATCAGGTTCTGTTAAATATTTAAATACTGGAGTGTAGATAAAGGATGAGCAGCTGCGAATGTGAAAGTAGTAACGAGGAGGACGAGATGTACAATGGAGATGTTATGTAATAGATAATGATAGAACTTGTAGAGACCTTGCAGCGCTGGAAATCAGTGAAACATAATAGGAGTTTCAACTTGAACAGCTGGGCGATATAAATTGGTAAATTTACCGAGTGATAGCAAGTAAAAGTGGAAATCCCACAACGGTTTGGTGTATTGATGGCTGGTGAGGCAGCCTTCCAAATTTTCATTTATTTAAAATTACCGTGAAACCAGCCAAGATTCTCACTGTGAATTCTGCAGTAACCATCAACTAACTATACATGGACTAAGGATTGGAATATGATTAGAACATCACAATGTATATACAGTAGTCAAGTAGTGTATTTGTTAATTTTAATATATTCTATGTAAAAAATGACTGATTACGGAAACAGAAGAGCATTATGCGTTATTCCGTTTGAAATTATGATATATATAGCACAAAGATCGAGGACATACCGATGAGCGGTATTATTCTTTTTCGAATCTTTTCTTCCTGTCGCTGAAAGGTATTGAATTTGGAAAAAGAATACCTGTAGGTAAATTTCCGGACAGTATTAAGTGTTTCAGTTATGTCTTCCAATTTTCCTTTGCATGATAACAGTTGTACGTCTTTGCATTTTTCGACCAATTTTTGCTTTGCCTTTTCTGCTTGTGGTAAAACTTTCGCGTCAAAAATCAATATGATGCTGTCATACTGCGCAAAAGAACATTCTGAAATATACGTACGGAGAGTACATATTATTGCTTCATAAAAATAGCTTTAAACGTCGCTAATAATATTTTAGGGCTCAGAAAAATAACCACTGAACGTGATTGGTAGGAATGGCGGAATCGACTCCGGGATCGATTCCGTTGCCTTGGAATCGATTCTCAGCGTTAAAACCTGGATTGCAAACAAGGTATAACGTTTTGTGGAAGTCCGTCACGTATATGTATAAACCGCTATGAGAAGTTGCTACGACGCCGCAAACTTTATTTTATTTCAACACTCTTCTTCTATGGATCACACATGGCGAATTTCATTCGTATATTTTTTTTCTTACCTATTGCGCTCATAACTCCTATTCACTTGAAGCAAATATGAAAAATGAAACACCTGTCGCAATTTCAAGTATAAAATATTTACACCGCAATCTGGCGGACCGGAATAGCAAAAGAACTCTTTCATAGAAAGAATGAGGCATAATTTTTGTTTGCTTTCCCGATTCTATAATCAGTTGTATTTATTTTGTTTTTATCAATTACTTTATCGTCTAATATGCTGATTATGGAGTCGAAATAAACTTGTATAGGCTATTGAAAATCTGATCAATGATGGTATGAACAGCTTTAAATCAAGGAGCGGCGACATTGTTGAATTGACCGGAAAGGTAGAGGCTTCGGCTAAGATATCAACATATATGAAGGACAGAAATCTTGGCATATCAGCGACCCAATAAAAAATGTCGCAGTGGTGGCAACGAACCACAATTTTTCCTATCTAAACATCGCAGTTGTCGTCGAAAAATATCTCTGTGTCACATCAACATCCGTTGCATTAGATAGAGCATTTAGCGCAGCGGGGCTAACCGTATTTTGCTATTTTGTCAACTGTGACATATTGAATACCCAAAATATTTAAACATCGCTTTCTTGTTCGATTTCATATGGTATTATTTAAATGGGTATGTTTCCTCCGGTAAGCTATATCGGAATCAGATGGGAATCGAATATCTGTAAGTAGTCATATATACTTCCTTAGTGATTTGTAGTAATCCAGCAATTATTTATCGAACTTGATAGAGGTTCATTTAGAGTTGGATATATAAATGGAATTCAATCCCCAAAATACCAAATTGTATGTGCCCAAAATGCACTAATATATATATATTTGTACTTTGTTGGCTGTTATCGTGCAAGACGTCTTTTTAATTAAATTTTATTTCAAGTTTCAATTTCTAGTGTTCAATTTGTTCACTTGTCCCTGCATATGACTTTGAAACTACGATTGAACTATATACAGGAAATGATAACAGCGTCAATAAAGTGTTAATGATTGGCAACCTTCACTCGTTCGAACGGGAAGGCTTGCTTGCATACATCATAATATATATATATATATATTTAAAATACGTGAATATAAAATTACATACGTGATCCTACAGGCAAGTCATCGGATTTGAATTTGTCAACTAGTTCATTGTACATTTGTACAGATAATGGTTTTCTCTGTCTCTCCCATTCCTTACACATTTGAATCTTTTGCTCGTTTATGTTATTGCTGTAATCGTATTCTATATTATCCAAGATTTGGTCATCCAGCTGCAACGCCGTACGAGCAAATTGTTTCCAATTTTTGTTCGGTATAATTTTGAAAGAGTCATAATAGGCTCGGCTCAGGTCAGCATGGTGTGACATGGTGTATTTATCCAGTTATAGTTGAGTGAATGCTTCCGATCTGATCAATATTTTGATCCCGCGTTACTGCTACAAAAAACTACCACGTCCATCACAGATTGGGTTAAAAACCAGAGCACACAACACGAAAATCATGGAGTCTAAAACTATGATGATGTTTGAACTTGAACAAATATGAAAAACGTTATTCCTAAATTTTTAAAAGCATAATTTATATCTATGTCAATTCACAATAGCACATAGTCAAAATGGGAGATACGATAGCCTTTAGAAAGAATATCGAAGGCTTATTTTCAGAACTGCAAAAGAATATCATCACCCTGGCACGTTATTCTAAAATCGAAACAATCTGATTTTTAACCAGTAACTAGGGTAAGAGTATGAGGTCTACTTGACTTCGATCCTGCACTCGCGAACAAAACTTTCTTTAGGCGGTTATAGTTTGCCATGGAAACCACTCGCACTACAAGAATGTCTAACCTGCCTACGGATTAAGCTCAGGTTTCACAGTTGACAATATTACAAGACAAAAGTACTATACACTGACGCGCGAAGTCAAACATAAAATGCGGAACAACAATCTGTCAGTATACTATTTACCTCTTTCACACGAGTCAACCAACAATGGATGTCGTGCACTGCGACTGCGATCACACGCTGAAATAGATTAATGTTTAACAATAACAGCTCAAGTTATTTTATTGTATCACTCTTACTACATACTATAATAAAGCAGTTTCAGCAATAATTTAGAAAATATATAAAGCATATATTTCGATCAAGTTTTGAAAATCTGAAATGAGAAGCTATATATGAGTAAAATTTAAAACATTACTTCTTGCCGATCAAAGACTGCAAGCGACAGGTAGACCTGATTTTCCCGATACGCACGGCTAGTTCGACTGAATAATACTATTGAAAATACATCCGACGAATACATTAATAGTCTTCCACTCATCTGTACAATAATACAAAGAACAAGAGAGCTATGCTCAAATATATGGAGACGTTTGAAGTAAATGAAAGTAATAGCCTTCTAAAGAAAATTTTCATTTTCAAGCACTGAAAATTTCAGAGCAATTGGTCCAGTAATTAAAGAGAAACGCGACTTTTAAGTATTAGGTAACTTCACGCCGACGTTCGAAGGCACGTGATCATGCGTCCGCAGAACGTTAGGTGACGTCATAGCAAAAAAAAACAAATCTCACAGAGCTAACAGAAATATTTGAAATAAATGAAAGTAATAGCCTGTTTAATTTTATCTGTAACCACTGAAAATTTCAGAGCAATTCGTCCAGTAATCAAAGAGAAAAGCGACTTTTTAGATTTTCCACTAGGTGTCCAAAAAGTGTCAAAGAACAACAACAACATAATATTGAAACGATCGCTATGTCCACTACGTGTCCAAAAATGATCTGACGTGGGGTTACTCTTCCACTCCTTTGTACAATAATACAATAGAAAATTATCAGACGTTGGGTTTACTTTGAAAAGTATTACATAAAATTAATTAAGTTAATCACCATATCATTAAAAAAGTTTAGTCTTTTTGATAATTCTTTAAACTAATATGCCTGTATTCTAGTTATTTGTTGCATTCTTCATATTAATCGAATTATTCAAAGTCTACTCAAATTCAAGTCTAAAATACAGTTCAGTGCGAGCGGACCCAACATTTTGATTAAGCTTCTAAAATGATACGCATAGCTGATCAATTCATTGCTGAAGACACAGCCATTAGAGACAGAACAGATATTGCTTTAAAACTATAAATCAAAAGATTGCTCTCAATAGCCCATATAGTCAAAAGATTATTTAAAAACAGATAGGACTTGTAGTGTGCTCTTGGATGTGTTTGCATCATTATTCCGATGTTTAAAACATAAATTGCAAGGTGAGCCGATATTTTTCCATCACCATCAAGCTCCTATTGAAGAAAATTTCACCATGTATGATAATTCAGTGCTCCGCAATTTTTGTTCATTCACGGCTGCGGTACTCGAACGGAAATTCGGAGCTCGAACACCCAAGTGATATGACCCCCCGAACCGTCTCGGCCACTCAAGTAGAATCCGTTCAAGTCAGAACGTTAGTGGGATGACCCAGGTTGGGAATCGGAATTTAGGATTTTTGAAATCGGTGCTTTTTCCTGCCTTTTTGCCGAAGATCATGGCTCCAAAGGAAAGTAGTGCTGAAGGGGGGGCAGTGAGAACGACAATTGGGTTGAAGAAAAAAATGTGAAATACAAGAATGATGTTCGAGTGTCTGATCCACGTTTTTGAAAAATAAGGCACACGTTGTTTAGGCACACGTTTTATCATTATTTTGGAATAATTTCTATTGTTTCTAATAGCATTTCGGTACTCGAACACCATTCCGAACAAATTATCTTCGACTGCCGAGATATCACTGCATATGTAATTCGACTACACTCTGTGTGTTAATAAGAGTCATGCTTATAATTCTTCTAAATTAGCACATCATACGTCAAAATATATATATATATATATATATATGTTAAAGAAAGTTTTGTCAAATTAGAACCTAAAGTGAATCTATATGAAACGTTTTGCCAACTCTCATTGTTGTTGCCGAGGTTAATCTTGTTATTGGAAACAACCGCATTTTTCCGCATTTTCTTTTGTCGGTCGTTGATCCCCACTGCTATAAGTGCTCTGTACGGAGCCTCAGGGCTCCGCGAGCTATTCGTTCACTTAAAAAACTGACTTGGTTAATTTTGTATCTGTGAAGAAGCATTAACGTCACTAATAAAATGTGACGATGGTGGTGTCGAAATGTGGTAGTGATTCAAATATAACATTATCTATAACTAAGGGCGCAGCAGCCATGGTTTTCTAAAGGGGAGGGGGTTCAGAATAGAAAATTCCCGAGCAACACTCATCGCTCAATCCATGACCGACCCGAGAATTTAAAATGTCTTGTCATATCAATTCAATTTAATTAGTATTAGTAGTATTAGTACGACACAGTAAAATGATCAAACTTCCATTGAAGGGTTTAGATCAGGGGTCGGCAAACTACGGCCGACGCTCCACTGAATTATATTAACAAAACAGCTAGCTTTATTGACAAATATATTTTTTACGTGACAAAATTTGTTTTGAGAAACTTAATTATACTATAACCTAACAAGTATATAATTCACAATCACTCGCTTAATGAGCCTATAATTGATTATAATTAGAGAAAAGGCAACAGAACGTAAAAAAGTTGATGCTGAGCGCAAATGGTTTAATGAACCTGAAAATATTCAAATGATAAGTCTTCGCGCACTGCTTGAAATTTCTGGGTGAAATGTGATTCATTGGCCATTCGTTTGGTTTTTAACTTTCTAAAATACGTGCGGCCCGCCAATGACTTGCAACCTTTAATTTTGGCCCGCGAACGACAAAAGTTTGCCGACCTCTGGTTTAGACTTTGGAGCCAGTGAAGTTATACAGTCATCCCAACTCAAATCTTCGACCCACTGCCCTATCTCCCTCCACTTTCCCATTTTCGATCCACTGCCCTGTCTCCCTCGCCTCGGCCAACTGCTCCACCTCCCACAACCTTCCCATCCTCGACCCACCGCCCTATCTCACTCAACTTTTCTATTCTCGATCTATCCTGCACTATCTGCCTCAAACTTCCAACCCTCGGCCCACTGTACGACCTCCCTGAACTTACTTATCTTCGACCCACGACGCTATACCACTCAGTACCTAATCTAACGGCGCTACAATCACGACTCGATCGTCAAAATGAACTTTACCAGTGGCGGCGCGTCAATAGGGCCGACCGGGGCAATGCCCCGGTTGTTTTTTCGGTATAATAATCTCCCGACATGGTACATTTTTCGCTCGCAAAGCCTTCGCCGAACGTCGACGGGGCGACGCCGATTTTGCCCTGGTTGCTCATTGTATATCGTATTCTCTCTTTTATCTTCCACTCGCCGCGGTTGTCTCGTTTGTTTTCTGTTTCTTTTACTAAATCATCGGGGCCGATCGGGGCTAGCCCCAAAATTATGACGTCACAATTCCGACGTTTCTTACAACAACGTGTTGACATATTCACGCATTCCTTCTCGTTCGTTGGTTGCTTGAAGAGTTGATAGTTTCCTCGCCTTCGTTTTTGTCGCTTGTTTCGCTATTTGAATCAGTTAGATACCTTTAGTCCATTTGCTTCCGATTTTCCACATTCCTTTTGAGCTCCTCACTTCTTTCCGGCTTCGCATTTCTTAGCCTTAGACCTCATAATGAATAAGGTTGATGCACTACTTCGCACTCCGTTTTCGCAGCTGCCGCTGGAACAAAAATTAGAGGTACAACGTCTTGGGCCTTATCAACCAAAAAATTGTTCACTGGAACAATCCCATGACGGAGGAAAGCGTCGGCGTACATTCTGCGCAGAAACTTGGTATAAAAAACACGAATGGTTGTGTTACAGCGAGGACAAAAATGCACTTTTTTGTTTTTATTGCCTACTTTTTGCTACCGCCCGTGACTCACGTTGGTGTAAATTTGGTTTTAGAGATCTTAAACATCTTTCCGAGCGTGCCAGGGATCATCAATCTTCTATGGAGCATCTAGACAATGCAGTAAAATGCCGAACATTCGGAAATGTTAGTATTGCAGCACAGTTGGATGAAGGACGCGCGGTTTCTATTCGTCGGCACAACCAAAACGTCGAGAAAAACCGCCATGTTCTCGGTCGATTGATAGATGTTTTAAAGTTCATTGGTTGTCACGATGAACGGGCTGGCTCTTCTAATAGAGGGGTATTTTTGGATATGGTGGAAATCACCGCATCCCTAGATACAGTATTGAGAGATCATCTTGATGCCGCAACTGTTTCGAAAGGGACATCTAAGGATATTCAAAATGATTTGCTCGACTCAATGTATAAAATTTATTTACAACATTTGGCTCTGGAAATTGAGAATTGCCAGTTCCTTTCGATTCAGTCTGACGAGACAACTGCCATAGGATAGGATTTACATATTATCCCGGGGAGAGGAAAGCCGATAAGACGGCTTATCTATATGGCGAACCACGGCCTCTCGTCCGTTACCATTCAAAGTCGGGTATGGGATTAGTTTTACTGTATTGTTTGTTTTCGGAAGCATGGACTTGATGGTGGAGGAAGCCGTAACCGACCAGCGGTTACGTGGACCACCCAACGACGGCGAGG